AAAGTCAAAATCCATAAAAGGGAACATAATTTGCTGTCGGTATGGAAGGCTGTCGGGGACAGGATGAAAAGCGCTGTTGTTGTGAAGGTTGATACGTCCGCACTACATGAGGATATGGTGATACGGGGTAGTTAGGGGATGCAGCATTCTGTTGTTCTTTATTATGTTTCGGTCTTTTTTTCCTCGAGGACTGTTTGCCTTCTAGGCGGTTAGGATGACCTGGCGGGTACCAAACTTTTCTTGTTCTGCGCGCTTCCATAGCTGGCATTTGTGTGGAGGCGTCGCTGACGTCCCTAGCGTTACAAGTGTCCGTGTTGATCCCGACACTTTTTTTCTGTATTGGAACTGGAACACAGGGTGTCGGTGGTGCTAACTTAATAAAGCATAGTTGTCGCTCCTTTGCAACGAGCCGATCAGCCACTGAATGAAGGGATTCTTTGAGTTCATAAATTTCTGTCTCCATTCTTCCGATTTTCTTTTCAAGGGCTTTGTTCTTCGTGCGCGCGTCTGTGAGTTTGTCTTCCAAGTCCTCAACATGTACTTTTTTCCTTTCCTTCTCGTCTTTATTCTTTTTCCACGCGACCGAGAGTTTACACTCTAAAGATGAAAGTTTTTCTTCCTGGCTCACAATTGTTTTCTTTAAAATCCGTATCTTATCAGTTAATGACGCCCTTTTACGGTGTTGGTCAGCTGAAAACGTTGGAAACAGAGAATTGATTGCAAATAGAAACTCAGCCTGAGACTCAATGCTGTAAAATGGCAATTCCATGGCAGACACGCGTCTAGACTTAAATTCGTTCCAGCGTTTTTGGTCTCGTTCTTTCTTGTGGACGGACTTCTTTTTCACGACAAGAATGGTCACTTGCTTTGTTTCAGAGTTCCTACATTGTTTGGAAAGATGGCCAAATTGTTGACATTTAAAGCACTGTAGATTCATCGCCTTACACTTGATAAGATGTCCTTTGTAGAATAACTCTCCACAACGATAACACATTGAATTTGACATTATTACGCGATTTTGGGGAAATTAACTGCTTTGGTAAGAGTCTTGGTACCAGGATCTAGGTATTGCACAGGAAATGCAATACCCCCGGGTAAATTACCCTTTGGATACTCCACCAATTAACACAAGTGAACTTGTGATGAAATTTATTAAAAGATAATTTACGAAATATAAATGTAGAAGTTTGTATATCCGAAAATAAATCGAGTAAAGTTACATAAAACAAGGACGATTTGAAATGCTCACACACGGACACACACACAAACGTTTTGGTAACTCGGAATAGTCCAGAGTAAAATTGTATTTTCTTGATGACGGAATGTCCAGTACATCTAATATTCACGTCCGGGGTTGTCCACGGCGGTTCTAAAACTGCCTCTCTCACACAACACATGGCATTCACTCAAACTTCAATTAACACATTTACGCAATTATCACACATACGAGTCGGGCGCTCTTTGAGGCAAAGGATTGACACTAATTCCTTAAATAAATATTGAGTGACATTTTCCTTTTTACTGTCTAAACATTAATTGTTAGATAGATAATTTTAAGCATATGTCAAAAAGTAAGTAATTAAAATGATTCTTTTTATAAAATCAAATTGTGTAACATTGTAAATTAATTTTGTAAAATTTACTATGTGACACTGACGCATAAGTATATTATTGCATTAAAATTTTAAAATACGAGTGTATTTATGCAATGCGTCCACATACTTTTGTAAAATATTTTTTTCTCATTATTTTACACGGAATCGCCTTGTATGGTTGTTACAACCATTGTAATTCATTCTATAAGTCCGTAGTTTTCTCTTCTAAAATCCACATTATTTGTAATGGTTTTATATATATCAAATAAGAATAAACATATTTATTTTACAACTAGATTAATTTCATCTGTTCTACTACAGCGTTCGGTAATAATTACAATATTTAACAGCGAGAAAAATCGTGTTATTAAAAAGTTGAATTTAAACATCGTACATATGTGCAGAAAATATTGTAAGAAACTTAAATTAATAATTTAACTTAATGTGCATGTATCGTCTTTCTTAGGACAATTTTCATTGGTTTGTTTATTTATTTATTTATTATTTACTTTTTTATCACCAGGCATTAGAATACAATGGAATAGTTTCAGTGCAAGGAAAAGATCAGAGGTATTCCGAATAAATCGTTCATCTTGCGCTCACCGTTCGTTCACCGTTCACTTTGCGCTCGCGTTTGCGCTCCGTTTGCGTTCTGCGTTCGCTCACCGTTCACACATCGTTCACCAAGTTGCGTTCAGCGTTCACACATCGTTCACTCACCGTTCGCTCTGCGTTCGTTCAGCGTTCGTTCACCGTTCGTTCACCGTTCGCTCACCGTTCAAGTGGGAAAGTAGAACGTTTCAGGGACTGTATGTCCAACAACCCACATTTTTCAAGGTGAGTAGGTAGAAAGGTATTCTTTTTAACTATCTTACACATTGATAATTGTCATAAAACGTAGGACTGCTAGACAGATTTAATATCTATTACTATAAAAACTTTCAGTCTAAATGCATCTTAGAGAAATGGTAAACCTTAACTTTAGAAATGGTACAGACAATGTGTATCCCTGCAAACAATAAATTTGAAGTGCTAAAAAAATTCATAAGGGGGGATGACTTTTACAGGCCAATCAGATCATCAGATAAATCATTTTTTATTGTTTACCTTATTTTTCTTTTCTTTACCATATAACAATTGCCAAGGTTAATTTTTGTAATTTACAGGTATTGTTGACATTGTCAGTTTATTGTATGAACTAACCCATCTTAGGCCAAACAGAAAAATTAAATTAATTGTTTTTATACAGAGAACTGTAAAAAATAAACACTGAAAACTTGCAAAGGACAAACGAAAGTGTTTGTAAAATCAGTTTTTCTTTCTAAATTAGCAACAAAGGGACAAACTTTTTGTTTGAAATGAATTCATTTTACTCATTTCTTAAATACTAGCATGGATCTACAGAGAAGTGTAAATACATCATCAATTGTTTAGAGGGGATGTGGCATATCCTACAAGTTGCCAGTGGAACAGTGGGTAGAGCATTTCTTTCTAAGGTTGTGAAGTACAGGAAGTAAGGAGTTTATCTTAATGTCACAGATTTGAATCTCTCTATGGAACACAAAAATTAGTACTTCTGATGAAAACTATAAACCAAGACCCTGTCACAGTAGGAGCCGGCACAAAAAAAGATATCTCACTGCTCAATTAACAGGTCCAGCACAATCTCTTGATTTAGCTATATAGCTTGAAATAGCTATATAGCTTTATTAAGCTATTCAAAATAGTTTGATAAAGCTATTTATATGCAGTTTTTCACAAAAATGTTTTATGTAAGAAATAGACAAAAAGTCGCATGTATTTGACTATTCATGTATTTACTTGGGGCTATCAAGACAACAAGCAAAATCAAAGATAGTTCTAACATTGCAGCATTTGAATACTTTTTAGCAAAAGATGAATTTCCATTGTTTGGGTAACTGTACACTACCTTGTGTGCATTGAGGCGTGGATAAGTATGATTACTTCTCATTGTACTGAATTATGACCAATCAATTATCTTGTTGACTGTAATTGGCCTCCTTTATAATTTCATTGAAAAAGTAACTGTATCAATTGCTTTATATAGCCCCAGAAACTTCGAGTACAAAGTCTCTTAAGGTCAAGATCTAGTAAATGATTTTAGACTGCCTTTTTGATGCTAGATCCATTATGATGTCATAATCAAATTAAACTTTCTTTTTCCCGTACTTTACAGCTGTAAATGAATTATGTAGAAAATAAAGTACTTTTCTGGAATTCAATTTGAAATCATGTGAAAAGTAATCCCGAAACCTATATTCAATTTAATATTATTTTAAAGAAGAGGCTAAGAACATACAAAATACCGTTTTCTGGGAGACTGTAGGCAATCTGGACACATTTAATTTGTCTGATATGGAAAAAACTACCATATTCATGACTGATTTTCTTAATTTTTCATTGAAAATGAAAGTTTAAGATATGATTTTTCGTCTTGTTTACCTACAAATTATGCCCCGAAACACCTTATTTGACCAAGCTATACTTATAAAGCTTCATTAAAGGAATTTATTTCTCAAATTTGAGAAATCTGTAGGCTCCTTTTATTTACTAGATCTTGACCTTAAGGAGACGCAATTTGGTGACTGATTTAAACATACATTATTTTCAGAAGAGTTCAAGGTTGAAGATTATCACTGCACCAAGGTGCAACTTTTTGTGCATGCTGAGATAATAACACATTTAAGAAAAAGCTGTGATAAAATAGCTAATTCAAGCTATTCTGAATAGCTTAATAAAGCTATATAGCTAAATCAAGCTATATAGCTAAATCAAGACATTGTGCCAGACCTGATTAACAGCTGATTAATGGCCATACATGTAAGTTCTGATTACAGGTCTAAATTAGCAGCTCTCCATCGGCAATTGATGGTGTCCCAAATTCCCAGTATGAATGAAATATTCTTGAAGTGATATAAAGCAAACAAATACTTATCCTGTATCATACCTGGTAAAAATTATAGGACTGTGACCTAACATCCTCATATCCATCTATGCTGTTTTGAAAGTTGTATTTGGTTCGATAGTACGCTGGATTTCTACAATACTCTTCATAGCAGACAGAACAAAACTCATCTGTTTGTAAAATGATGTCTCCTAAAAAGGCATAAATGATAAATATGATAAAGTCCATGCAAGTGAAGAACCCCTGTCCCCCACATAAAAATAGATCGTTAAAACTAATGATTCCTTTTAAAATATTTTAATCTATTAAATACTCTGGAAAAGAGCAATCTATATGAGTTAAAAATGTAAACTTTAATGAGTCATACCTGCTATAAATGATATTTTTAAGAACATAAACAAAACAAATTTCTCCATCTTGAAATCATTTCCGGAAATAATTGTTGGACTCGTTCATAAAATGCTTCGAGTACCAGTTCTCGTTCACAGTCATTTTGACGCTTTAATAACAAAGTAAACATGGCCACTGTCGAGTCCATGGTTGTTGAAGAGCAACGAGAGCCGGAAAAGCCGGTTGATAGAGAAAAGGTAACCTTATAAGTGTGTCTTTGTGTTTCTCAGTGTGTTTGTGTGTTTTTCAATATAGCCTGCATTTCTCTTTTTTATAGAAAAAAAGGCAAATGCTCTGCTACTCGTGCAAGAGTTCTGGTCATGTCAACTCGATACAGTTTATTATTCATTAAAGCTACATCTGCAAAACATGAATTGATACGTATACTGCAGTTAAGCTACATTTTTTTTTAGCTTCATCAGGTCTGGTACAATCACTAGATTAAGCTACGTAGCTTGAATTACCTACATAGCTTTATTTACCTATCTGAAATAGCTTTATTTAGCTACTAAATCAAACATATTTCTTAAATTAGCATTTATCCCAGAAAGTGCAGAAATTGCACTTTGATGCAGTGATAATTTTCAACTTTGAACTCATCTGAAAACAGTTCATGAAAAAATCACTCTTGGAGCAGTCTAGACGAACTCCAAAAACAGCGTTTCCGGAAGTAAGAAATTGAGACTGAAAAAGACTCCGAAAATAGAGTCCACGCATGCGCACACACACAAAAAATGGCGATTTTTCGGCAAAAATGATGGGTGTACAAAAACTGTCCGTGCAAAGTTTTGCAAAGTATGGCAATTATGCCAGTACTCAGAAATGCTAAATAAAAGACTTCGGAAGAGATCGTATTTGTCAGATTTTTGATTTTATTTGCAAAAAAGTAGATATTTACTTTCAAAGTTAACGTTTCAAGTCAGATCAATTACAGAGAAAATGATACGTTTTGAGAAGGAAATATGCATTATAAAAGGGATATATATGCAAAAAGGGACATATATATTGTAACTGTAAAAAGCGTGACTGAATTTTACACATAAAATAGCATTCCGTTTTTTTTTATTTGTGTACGACATCGGAATTGAACGCGTAAGTTATTGCCATTGTTATTTACCGATTTTTTTTTATCACATACGATTAGATATTATTATGAAAACATTTTTAAAACTATTTTCTATTAATATGAAAACTTTAAAAACCACTCTTCTAAATATTAAGGGCACAACATGTCTTCTAAAAATGAACCTGTTAATATCTCTGCTCCGTGGTGAAAAATGCGCATTTTCTGATTAAAATAAATACAAGCTGGGTGTCTTCAAAAACAAATAAAAGCACCTTTATTGTAGGAACGATATAAAATTTAAATCAAGGAGACAATAAATTAAATAAGAAAATATTTCTTACCGGCAGTATTGAATTCGATGTCGTATATCCAATTCACTATTATGCAAGAGTTTGAAGCAAGAAATAAAGTCAATATCCACAAAATAATTTAATAAATGCAATTATCCATTCAACAAAAAATAAAATGAAATAACAATGCACTAAATACAGCCATTATGCTGCCGTATATTTGGAGAAACGAACGACAATCCATCGTTTGTTTACATCGGACGCCATTTTGCCGCAATGCATGATGGAGCCAAAGACTTCGTTTTCGGAGTTCACGCTGTTTTTGGAGTTCGTCTAGACTGTGGAGATGTGTCTTTTTCTGCACAATTGCAATCAAAGTTCTAAAAGTTTTGGGGCTATATACAACAGTTAATTTGTGATCTAACAGTTACTTCTTGAGTGAAATAACATAGAAAACCAGTTTTGGTTAACATGAGCACAATGTGAAGTAATCATACTTATCCACGCCTCATCGCACATAAGGCAGTGGACAGTTTCTCAAACAATGAAAATACATATTTTCCTTAAAAGTGTTCAAACTATCTCTGCGTTAGATTGCTTTTTAAATAATACCTACATGTAGAATAAATATCAGTAGACTTTTACTTGTGACTTTTTGTCTTTTTAAAATAAAAAGCAAAATTGTGAAAAGTTGCATTGAAATAGCTAAATAAAGCTACCTGAGGTAGATAAATAAAGCTACAGTAGGTAATTTTAGCTACGTAGCTAAATGTACTGATTGTACTGGACCTGTTCATATAACTACAGTATAGAACAGATATGTGAGTTAAAGTGGTTAGTTAAATAAAACAAGTTGGGGAAATTACCCAGACAGATTACAATATCCCAACTACAGGTAGGTTATCTGGTTTTAATCATCATACAGAAGAATCTAACCCTGTTTGTATAGACTTGTGAAAAATGGGGTAAACTAATGATGGATGAATGGAATATTCTATCGTTAAAATGATAATGTACTAGGGATCCGATGAGGGCCTGTCCTGAGACACAGTTAGATTTTTCTAACTAATGAATTTGACACCTTTCTTTTCATGCTTTTATTGTAAGGTAAATTATATTCTGTAGTTTTTCCATGTAGGATTAATTTACGCTATGAGTGCCGATACAAATTTTCCAAAGAAATCAGTCACACTGCACTTAAAGTTCATTGAAGACATAAAACAGTAATCCATGGAATCAAGTTGTATTTTTTCAACCTGTGGTTTGAACTGAAAGTTTGATTCCATGAAATTATGATCCTTTGGAAAAAACACAGTAGTAGTTTGCAGATAATAAGTTATCATATATTAATATGGTGATTAGTTAACTTAGCGAAACTCTTTCATAGTGGAGATAGGAAATGTCCGTAAGCAAGGGACAATGTGCTGTTGAATGCATCGCAAAATCTATCACTTTTTAAGAACACATCATGCACATAAGAAGTGCTGGTGAAACATCTCCAAACATTCCTTGAACCATTGTTAACAGAACTTAAGAGGAGCTAGTCCTCTTGTGTTAAATTATTATTCATTTGATACTTTCTTATATATATTCTTTCTTTTAAGATACTGTAACACATTTATATGATTTTTGGGAGGAAGAATTGACATTAGCCCCTGGTGCAAGGAAGGTCAGACCAAACAAAGTGCCATGTATGGGCAAAAACTAGATTCCTTCTTGATTGAAAATGGTTACTATTTAAATGATGTACGATTTTTAAAAATATATATTGTTAATATTTGAAAGAAAAAAAAATGAAAAAAAAAAAAATAAATGTGTGATCTTTTGTGATTTCAGACCTGTCCCCTTCTCCTAAGAGTCTTCAGCAATCTAGGACGACATAATCCAATGAGTGACTACCACAGGGGACAGACCCCAGCTAATGAACTTCAGATCTACACATGGTAAGTCACCAGTGACTTATGATCAAGATGAAACTATAAGGGTTTGATTTTTGATATGTGTCCTGCACTGAAACAATTCAGAATATAAAGTTACAATATGCTGCCTTGATCCTCTTACAACCCCTCTTCCATTGGTTCAGGTGGAGGACAGAGAATTATGTTTGTGCGTTGATAATCAACAATTTTTGAACAGTTATTATTATGCATAGGAGGTGAATCAATATGTTTTTGTTCTAGAAAAAAGGATATAATCAAGATGAAACTATAAGGGTTTGATTTTTGATATGTGTTTTGCACTGTTGACACTGAGTATTCTTCCACTAGTACTAATAAGATTAAAAAGACGACAAAAAAACCTTTCATCATCAAGACCAACATGTTTTATTCTCAGGAACACACATGATGCATCCAAACAAATTTATACCTACATTCCAAAAAAAGCATGATGTTTTGTGTTGTAGATTTACTTGATAATTACATGTATACCTATGAACAAACAACTTCTGTAATAGAAGTTGGAATTAATTAAAGTACATATGTAATCATTTCTGTTTAAATATGTCAAGAGATCATTTACAGGTGTACATTTAATATCAGTCCTTTAATTCTGTTATATGAGAAAAAGAACTGTAAGTTCAACAATACAATCAAAGAAAATATTCAAAATTTTCGGCAAGAAGAGTAAGCGTGTGTTTTATAGCAGTTAGGTAAATTGGTAAACTTAACTTTGAAAAAGGAATTAAAAATTTAGGGTATTTGTTTGGATAATATCTAGAAAAATGTTTGTATTAAGATGTTGAAGCACACACACACACACACACACACACAATGAATGTAGATCATTTCCTAGAGAAAATGTTTTTGTTAACTGGTACATGTATGTATATTGTTAGCTGAACCCAAGTACATGTGTATTTACTACATTTAGAATATTATTAGCAACCCTTCTAATATTTCTATTTTTATATAAATAAATATATTTACTAATATATAAAATATAGATTTTAATACATAGGTATAAATCCTAGATTCAACACAATGAATGACAGATATCAAAAAAAATTTTATCTATGCCTTACTGAAAAAGCAACATTTACAAAGGAAAAAATTAATTCACTCCTCATGTTTGTTTTATGAAAACAGGCTAGATGCAACACTTAAGGAGCTGACAAGTCTGGTCAAGGAGGTAAACCCAGAGGCTAGGAGAAAAGGAACATTCTTTGATTTTGCCATTGTGTATCCTGATCCCAGGGCACCAGTTTATAGACTGCGGGAGATCGGTACCACCTGTGCTGGTCACCGCGGCCAAGATGATGGAATAAGCCTCGCCAGCAAAAAGTTTGTTATCGGAGATTTCCTCGACATTGCCATCACACCACCCAGAAATGACAGGCCAAATCCAAGGAGAAACAGACCGCCATATTGAGTGGATGACATTTTGTAAAAGAGTGAATCTTTGTGAAAGAATGTTTTTTTTTACCTGATAGTCATGCTAAGTCTGTGCATATGAAATACTTGTATGGATCATATATATGAAATTTTAAAGTACTTTTAATTTTTTTCCATTATTCACAATCTCATGAGAAATGTGTTCATTTCAACCATCATTATAGATACAAAAACTGCAGCAATTCCAGGAGATAAAGATTATCTCTCTTTTGAAATAAAGCATAAAATCAAATATTGATTTAACTTTTGCTTTGTCATCAATTTTTTTCCGGTGCATTCTAGACTTCATAGAATGTCTGATTGCCTAGTTATATAAATATAACCGCGGAACATTAACTGGCAAAATTGGAAATACGCAGCTATTACAGTCAAAACATTGAATGATAGACAATAAAATGGGCGGGTACAATTCGACACGGACGTCCGAAAAAACATTGGATTGAAATTCTAGTTTGAAATTCATTTTCAATCCACCTCAGCTACGCTAGAACGCACGGTGTTACTGATTGACCCAGAAGATATAAATCAGAATTTTCTATCCCATGTTTTTAAAGAAATATAAAGGGGCAAATATTTGATTTTTGTTTGGTATGTGTATGTGTGTGCTGGGGGTAGGGGTGGAGGGGGATGAACGATCTTGGAAATGAATAAGAAAGTTTTCTTTTAGTTTGGACAACCCCTCCCTGTTTTTGTTTGTCAAACATTTTTCAGAGAAGAAAAAACTAAAAAAAAAAAATGAAAGCTCTTGTCATCCTAGAAGTAAATATATTCTTCATGAGAAGGCATGATCTGACTCGACAATTTTTGACCCCCCCCCCCTTTCTAGAATCAAATGACCATCCCCTGAAAAAATAATCTCTTTCTTCGATTCTATGACTTTTACATGTCCTTAAAATTATAGGCTAAAAAACTCATATAAATATGAATTTCAAACGACATGTATTTGGGAATTGAATTTATTTGTCTTTTGGATCATGCATTCACACTTAAGGTTTGAAAACAGCCCAGGTGGATTGAAAACGAATTTCAATTTTTTTTTTTTTCAGTGAAGGAGAAAATAAATAATATCTTTTGTCATCCTACAAATAATAAATATATTCCTTTAAGTTAGACATAACCATAAATAATCTGATTCGACAAAATTTGCCAGCTCTAGAATCAAATGGCCGCCCCCTAAAAGAATATAGCTACTATATATAACTTTTGTGTGTCCTCAAAATATTGGATAAAAAATTGTTATACATTAATTTCAAACTTATACTTACTTGGGAACTGAAATTATTTGTCGTTTTGGTCATACATTATATCTTTGCGAAAATTAGTGCTGGTGGATTGAAAATGAATTTCGAACTGCAATTTCAATCCAATATTTTCGCAGACGTCATGTCAAATTGTACCCGCCCATTTCATTGTATAACATCAAGTGTTTGACTGCATCAGATGGAAATGACGTAAGCTGCATATTTCCAATTTTGCCAGTTAATGTTCCGCGGTCTTAAGTGACTCTGGGTGTACAGGTGTGTGAATATCAGTCAATATATTGGGTCTCAATTAGTTCATTGGTTAGAGGGCACTGGCACGGTAAGCCAGAGGCCCTGGGTTCAAGTCCAAGTTGAGACTTGAATTTTCATCACTTATATGGCATTTGGTGCCAACATACAAAACCCACTAATTTCTTAGGAATAGGCCTCAAAGCATTCCCATAACTCATAAAATTCGGGGACAAATTTCTCATACGGGGAATATATCACCGTGTTTCAAGGTGTGTGAATAACTGAATATCGGTCATGCAATATATAGGGACTCAATTAGCTTATTGGTTAGAGTGTTGGCATGGTATGCCAGAGGCCCTTGCTGGGTTCCAGTCCCGTTTGCGACTTCATTTTTCACAACCTGTGATATCTAGTCAGAACAGCATTAAATCACGCTTTTCAAATATCATGAAATCTATTTTATCTTAGAAAAATACCCATGTATATTAGAAATACAACCATTTCCAAAAGTAATTACATGCTTTTGTGAAATCTGACTTTGAGCATGCTTTGCTCATTTAAGGATATCCAATCCTCAGCCAGGAAGGATAACTCTTAAATTTATTATTTTATTTTAAAAAAGTCTCAAAATGAAGCTTGAAATTGCGATCTTTTCGTGCAACAATTTTCATTTTATGCATCTCACTATGATTCTAGGTTCTATGAAGTCTTAGAAACTGTCTTTTACTCTGTGAAAACTGTGACATTTTTGGGAGCATTTTCAATTACTTAAAAGCTGATTTTCGGCAGAACCTGGGGATCTGACTACCTTCATTCAATTGGTTGTCCATAAAAAAGTAGTTTAAACTTTTTTTAATTAAAAAAAATGGAAGTTTTACACAATTTTGTCATGTTTAATTATGGCTCCGAATTTTAAATATGTGCCCGTATAGAGCAGTTAATGGAAAAGATATAAATCTTATTGTTAGAAAATAGACAATCAAATTAAAGCGCTAGTTCTAATTAGGTCTTTCCACCTTTCTGTGGAAAGACCTATTGAAACTGTTCTGTTTATCATTTGCTCAACATAACATTCGAACTATGTATACATCGATGACATCATGATCTGCAATACTCTCTGTAATACAGACGGTAGGTAACATACTATAAAACTTTGATTTTACTGTACCGCTAATTTCGTAAAGTATAAGCAACAAAAGCAGTCTTGAAGTGAAATGTGCATCTCATTTTTCACAAAAGAAAACAAAAGTTATTTAAATGTAACTTTATATCTTGATTAGCAGTTTTTACAACTGATCAACTATACTTAAATAATGAACAAAGCTTAAGACAACAAGAAAGAAAGATTTGCAGCAGTGCATGGGGTTCCTATGCAAGAAATAAGAAATGTTAAAAATTGTATACATGTACATTTATCATAGAAAATGTGCATCGTTGATGAATCGTGTTGATGGGCGATTTGTTAATCGTTTTTCAGAATCATAAGATGCAAGGATTCTATTAATTATATTTTTTGCACGAGCAAAATATGATTGTATGATATGAATCCTATACAGGGGATGAAATATTTCATCTTTTAAAAGTACCACCCATAGCGCTTTTTCGCTATAAATACACATTTTTTTCTGCAGGTATAGGAAGCCCTGAATGCTCCTTTGGGTCATTTACAAGAAAAGACGGTACACATTTAAGCTGTTACACATATTCCATCCTGAACCTCTTATTTACTTTGACGCCATCAAATCTTGTAAGCGAGTCTGGCCTGATGCGTCACTGCTTCAGACTGAAACTGCAGAGGAACTGGTGTATATTATACCTAGTAAATCAATAACTCACAAGGTGTGTTTTATACATAAGAAAAAATATTTGAGAAAAATACTGTAGAGTACTCTATTTACAAAAAAATGTCTTTCTTAATTCGGATCTTTGAATGTAGAAATCACTAGAAAATAGCAACAATATGAATATTTTAAATGAAAATTAATGTATGAAAATTCATCATTTACCATGAAGTTAGTATATATACATTATACTATCTAATGTGATTTGGTAAATGAACACAAAATGCAATCATTATCCGAATACTAATACTTACATGTAAATTATGATGCGTTTGTAAATATGTATAGCAATGACTACCGGCCGTATATTTGATATGTATTATTTAGAGAACTCGACGGGTTCTGTATCGTAGATACAAATTTGGGGGTGGACGAGTGCGTAGCACGAGTCTCCACCCCCAAATTTGTATCTACGATACAGAACCTGTCGAGTTCTCTAAATGATTTGAGACACGATCAATCAAAAAAAGCACGGTCCACTTTATATCTGTGCAGCATCCAAACTTCCGCCAGAGGTCTTTTGTTCTCTGTAGATGAGGCCTCGACGCGGGGAATATACATCCGCAGTATATATATTTCCACGGACAACGTAAGATTTAGTCAGATTAAATTCGACAATGGGGTAGACGTAACAGACTTGAAGTCAGTCTTAATTGATAAGGTGGACGATTCAACCTTGTTGTAGATGGAGATTGATCCTAATTTATTTCAGCAATCTTAAAATCTAAGTTTAACTAGATACACATACAGGCGATACAGACAGTTTTTCGATGGACTTTGATTTTACGGAGTTTTATTTTCTTATTGAAATGCGACATTAAAAACGAAGTGAAAGAGATGTGCGGCAATCGTCAGAGATAAGGATTTAAGATGAAATTAAAAAAAAACAACTGAAAAGTGGACTTGATTGAGTTTGCACGAGAAGAGTGGAAAATGGGGAGAGGGGGTGCGAATTTCAACTTATTTATGCTGCATCCGTTAACCCATTGGCTTTACTATTTTGAAGGGGACAGAAAAAGCAGGGAAAGCAAACAGGTTTTCAGGAATTTATCCAACATAGGATGTTTTCCATAATTGCGAATTTTCCTTTTCGTTTGGATCGAAATAACGTGTAGATTCTGTGTGGAATAATTTTTTAAAAGTGATTGAGAAATTCTGACATTTTACATTCCTAAGGAAATATTTCTCCAAACTTTATAATAGGGAAAAAAACAGCATTTACTATCATACAATCAATCAATCAATCAAAAACCCTTTTAATTGCAAAGCTGCTTTCAATTTCTGTAGAAAGTGATTTTAAAAAAGAGGAATTGCTAAAAATACTTCAACGTTCTGGTATATTCTCATTTAAATGATTAAAAAAAATAACAAAGGGATAATTATAATACACAAAAGAATAAGTGCCCAAATCGGAGTTATGCTTAGACAAATCAGTATGAGAAAATCAGTCCACATTCTACCCACAGACACTTTATATTTGCAAACAAGATCATTGTAACAACCATAGAATTTGTAAAATATTTCATATAAAGGCCAAGTGTTTTAATGCCTAATCTAAGCGTTATCAGTGAACTTGTATAGACTGTGATTTTTTTTTTTCAAAAGGTGATATCTGCATGTTTTCTATGAAACCAAGTTTTGCACTTCTTCAAGAAACTACCAATACTTCATATCCTGAGATCACAAATTTAACTCTTCCTTCATCTTATCGTGTGACGCAGTGGTTATAGCGTTTGTTCTATAGCTAATGTCGCAAAGTAAGGAGTTGCATGATCCTTACGTCGTGGGTTCAAATCCCCTTTCGGTACTTGGACATTCTAACTAAAGCCAGCCCCTACTATTTCACTTCGTTCGTAGGGTCTGAAGAACTCTCATAAGGGCCAATCTCCGAGTGACCTTAGAGTTAACCAATCAGGTTATCGCTTACGATTTCTCTAAGCGCATTTGCAGACTCTAAGGTCACTCGGAGATTGACCGTTATGAGAGTTCTTCAGACCCTACGAATGAAGTGAAATAGTAGGGGCTGGCTTTAGTCAGAGTGGTACTTGGAGATCGGTCCTTCGGATGAGACCGTATTAACCGACGCAAGTGTCGCAGTAGTTGCTGGCACGATAAAGATCCCTCACTGCTCAATAGCCCTAAGTGCCAAGTATAGGTCTAAATTTGCAGCCCTCAAAGGGCAAGTGGTGGCATCTCCATATGAGTGAAAAATTCTCCACAGGGGCGTTAAACAAATATCTTATCGCTTTACAGAAGACGAGTATGGTCTTAAATATCAAGCTCAAGCAACTGTGCTGCATGCATCTAAAATTGTTATCTTTCTTATCAAATCAATAGAACAAACACATTACCTGTACAGTAAAGCGTGTCATTCGGTCGAGACTGTCTAGCAAATTGATGAGTATCTTGTCTGATTGCAGTGTTGTTTCGGATACAAATTTCTAGTAATAAAAGGTCTTACTGTGAAGCATGGAGGAGGTATGGTATCCACCAGATATAAAAACTTGTCAGTCACCAAAACTTTCCTGTGAAAAACATGACAAAAACTTATTAGATATATGTTCTGCGAGGACTGTTAAGTGGTATTGTGCTTGACATGTGTAAACGCAAATCACAGAGACCACAACTGGGACTTTATTAGGAAAATAGCTCACCGAATACATGGCAACATTGAATCGGAGTTTAAAGAAATTCGAGATCATCGCTTGAATGCACTCGAAAAAGATCTGAGCGCGGTTCATCAACTGGAGGAAAGAAATTCGGCAATCTTCAGAAGTCAAGAAGAAAAACTTCAAATTCAGTTTGATTTAATTGTGCAAACACTATCCAATGTTTAGGACAAATTATTGTGCTGTTTGAAAAATCATTGGACGAAAAAAAAATGAATTTCTAATAAATATGAAGGGGCGTATCGAAAAGCAGAGAGAGATGATCGACAAAACAATGTCTTTCATAGAAGAGAGCAATTTGAGTGATTGCCATCTTGTTGAAACCTAGAGTTATACAAAACAAAAACACAGATATGTGCGTTATCGACATGAAAGAGGCTGATGTTGGAGAGGTTCACGTTTTATCCTCCAGTGGGTATTAACCAGAAGAATCCGTTTTGCCCGAGGGCATGTGTGTGTGATTCCGAGCACAATATTATAGTAACAGACATATACAACAGTCTTATCCATATTATTCACTCAGATGGAGAGCTTTTAAAAATTATTTACATGCAAGACAATTTAGAAACTTCTTGCATGTCCATTTGTAAGGGAACTGCATGGATTGGGAACACAGGTGGTGAAATAAAAGTTTTCAGATACACTAACACTCCGGAATCATCCGATTCGCAGCTATAATTTCCGAATCACATATAAGTAACTTAAGGGGATGAAGGACACATGGTCACATGACTCTGTTTAACTACGTCATAGTCTCCGTTTATATAAGTGCAAAATGTGTAAAGCATCAGTTATTGTATAATTTTTTTGACAATTTTTTAACTTTAATTACCATCTTATATAAAAAAAAAATGAAAATTTTTAACATTCTTGTAAACATCAACAAATTATGAAAAAGTTTGATCCACTCCTCTGTTTCCCTAAACTGCGCGTCCAACAAGTCGGTGACGTCATACACGATCTGTTAGTACAGCAAGATCATACTCGGTGAATACAGGGGCGGTGTTATTATGTAAAAACAGATCATAATTAGTATATGATGAAATATTTTGAGAAACGGGGAACACAAAAATTATTTTTGCATGGCTGATGACGGAAATCTTATGTAGGTATATCTTATTTCGCTTATTTAGCTTACGTGTGACGTCATAGTTGGTTTTTCCCGTACTCGAGAAATGTAACATGACACGTTTTTGTCATGCTTATGTCCTCTTTACCGATGTCCTGTGCAATATTGAGGTCAGCTTTACCATTCGAAATTTTTACAGTTAATCAATAATTTGAAGGATTTGCATTTCAACGTAAATTAAAAAATATTGAATGATAGAATTTTTTGTAAATTACGTTTTTTATTGTTTAAGTTGTCTTAAAAAGTGTGTAATTTTCCCTATCCAGATGCAGTGTGATAGACAATACTTCCTTTTTCGAATTTTAAATCCTAGTTATACTCTGAAATATTTTACAAGATACATGTCCACTTTGATATTTTTTATATATGCTTAAAAAATCAGAGTAATGAGCCCGGAAACATGGAGAATTAAGACTCCACTTAGATACTGTAGGGCATAGTATTTGTCAATCAATATCTCCAAAATAAGGTTAGAAACCTAATGATATAACTGCTTTAAGATATGTGGGACATACTTAATTAGAAATACACGAAATATGAAAAAAATTGAATGACAAGTATTTTTTTCAGCTCAAGGCCCTTCTCCTCCTTAAGTAACGAGATAAATATGTTGATATGCAACATATATATGTCAACATGCAACTTAATTATATGTTGGGATTGCAACTAATTTATGTTGACATTCAACTTATCTATGTTAACAAGCGAAATAAATATCTTGACGGGATGAAGTATCATAAAAGCTATAGGAAATTTAATGAAATCTTTGCAGAAAAGTAAAAATGATTTTTTCCCCTCAAAATTTGCAGAGATGTCCCTACGCACTACGTTCCTCAATTTACCCGTTGCGATGAGTTTAACCCGGGTTATTGATACATGGATGTGTTGGAAATATTCAAACAGCAACAGCCGTTTAGGGTAATTCAGTCGGAAGAGCGCTCGCTCCGTGATAGGGATGTCGTGAGTTCGAATCTCGGCCGCGACTGACCAAAGTCGATTAAAAAAATGGGTATTAACTGTTCCTTCGCCATGTGCTCGGCACTTTGAAGTGAAAGTTGCGGGTCCTTCGGATAAGACCTTAAAAACCGAGGCCCCGTGTCACGGCAGCCGTTGGCACGATAAATATTCCTCACTAGCTGCTCAATGGCCCTGAGTGCCGAATAAAGGTCAAAATTTGAAGCCCTTCACCGGTATATGGTGACGTTTTTATATGAGTGAAAAATTCTCGAATGGGACGTAAAACAACATACAATCAATCGATCAATCATACAGCAACATGCATCGAAATCTGAAAATTTACTTATTAACTCTACAGGAAAAGCCTATACTACAGGAAAAGTCTATACTCAGAAAAAGCCCCCCCCCCCTCCCGTTCTACGGGCCTGCAAATGCGATGTGATAAAAACATCTCCATGTTTAATATATATTAAGCAGTGCTTAAAATTCTAGAATGTGATATAAATAGTGGTCCAAGTGTCAAATGTTGGGTTGAAAAAGTAATATTTGTAAATAATGAACATGCTATCTATATATTAAATTACATTTACTGTGCAGTATTGTTTCTATTTAAAATTTTAAATGTATTTTAGATAAAATATTTTAAAAATAAAACTTGTTAGGCGCCTTCAATTATAGTAACTACTTAATCAATAAAACTGTCTTTGCACAATTTTATCAGGAAAAAATGTATTTAATTTTGACTAAGTTGCTAAATCAAAGTAACACAGGTAAACTCTACCTCGACCCCTTAGAGGGCCTCTTAATTGAGTGTGATAATTAAATAGTTGATTTAACGAGTAGATATTCGGGGAATAAACCCTGGGGTATATCCTTCGCATTTGTTACACCTGACTGCTTTCTTGTCAAGGGTACTTGCATGAGACGACACGAAGCCGAGTTGATTATGTCGCATTACCTTTGTTTACATTTTATTGCATTTTTTAGTGTCTTAGTCCACTGACCTGTGCAACTGGTGTTACATTTTCTCCTGTCGTGGACGAACGAACGCTTTGCTTACCTATACAGTAAAGTGGGTCATTCAGTCGGGACTGTCTACATGTAGTAATAATCGATAAGTATCTTGTCTGAATGCTGTGTTGCTGGCGGGTAACAGATTCCTAGTAACTAAAGGACATACCGTAAAACATGGCGGACGTATGGCATCTACCAGATATGAAAACTTGTCAGTTTTCAAAAGGTCTTTGTCATGAACATAACAAAAACTTATTAGATATGTTCTGCGAGGATTGTAAAGTGACATTGTGTTTGTCATGTGCAAAAGCGAATCACAAGGACCACAACTGGGACTCTATTAGGAACATAGCTAATCGAATACATGACAACATTGAATCGGATTTTAAAGAAATTCGAGATCATCGCTTAGATGCACTTGAAAAAGATTTGAGCGCAGTTCATGAACTGGAGGATAGAAATTCGGCAATCTTCAGAAGACAAGAAGAAAAACTTCAAATTCAGTTTGATTTAATTGTGCAAACATTATCCAACGGTAGAGACAAATTATTGAGCTGTTTGAAAAATCACTGGACGAAAAAAAATGAATTTCTAGCAAATATAAAGGGGCGTATCGAAATGCAGAAAGAGAAAATCAGCAAAACAATATGTGTTTCATAGAAGAGAGCAATTTGAGTGATTCAAATCTTGTTGAAATCTACACACAATTAGAAAACCTACTGAAACATGAAAGATATGAGTTTTCTAATAATGACTTTTCGATTCGTTTTCTTCCGGGAGAACTGGATGCGTTTTCTTCAGAGAAAATGATTGGGGTTTTAAAGGATGTTGATGACTTCAAATTTAATCTTATTTCTAGTTTTAAACTGGAGGAATCTCAAATCGATCAAATCCATTCCCTAAACGAAAATACAGCATGGCTTTATGAAGAGTCACGATGCTTGCTTGTTGATCAGAACGGAACATCACAGGAAAACAAGCAAGTAGACTATGAATTTGGAGATTTTACGGTCTGTTCCAATGGTAATATTTATTTTACAGACTTAGACTCCAAAAGCATCAGATTATTGACATCATCGGGTGAAGACAGCCTCGTCTTAAACACGGAACCTTTGATTCCATTTGGTATATGTCGGTCTGTCGTTGGAGGACTGCTCATAACACTTTGTGAAGATGACGATCCTTACACACCAGATAGCACGTGTAGGCGATTGGTCAAAAGCATAACTTTAAGTGGAAAAAAAGTAAAAGAAATTGAATTTGATGCCAAAAACAACAGACTATTTACCTTTCCCACTAGAGTCGTACAAAACAAAAACACAGATATATGCGTTATCGACATGAAAGAGGCTGATGCTGGAGAGGTTCACGTTTTATCTTCTAGTGGTGTGAGTAGATTTGTGTACCATGGATGTGGTATTAATCAGAAGAATCCCTTTTGCCCGAGCGCATGTGTGTGTGATTCCGAGCACAATATTATAGTAACAGACATATACAACAGTCTTATCCACATTATTCACTCAGATGGAGAGCTTTTAAAACTTATTTACATGCAAGACAATTTAGAACCTTCTTGCATGTCCATTTGTAAGGGAACTGCATGGATTGGATTCACAGGTGGTGAAATAAAAGTTTTCAGATACACTAACACTCCGGAATCATCCGAATCGCAGCTATAATTTCCGAATCAAATAACATCAAAATGTGACTAACTGGCTACATAATGTCTTTTTGAAGGACGCACATACACGATAAACATTGATTTTTGATCTGAATTTTGAAGATACCTTTCAAATAGTATAATTCATGTAAGTTGAGAGGTTCAATTCCGGTGACTATAACAATTTACTATTTACTGCATCATTTGATGAAAATATGTTGTTGTTTTTTTATTTTCTGACAGCGAATTTTTTGATAGCCCTTCAAATAGACATGATGAAAAATAAGATTTTATTTTTGTCATTATTTTTTTCATGAATTTTTTTTTTCAGTAAAAAAAAGCGCACATTTGGTAACACAAAAAAGATAAAGAGAATTTTATAATCATTATATATTTCAATTTTTATAGGTTCACAAGCTGCTTGAATTTCTAGAGGCCCATGATAACTATGAATGCGTAATAATATGGCTTATTTTAACACAAGTCTTGCAGGTATTATCTCATCAGAATTCAAATCATCAAAATTGAGGAAAAAGTAATCGTGTATGAAATCTTAAGTCCATGTTCCAGAAAGCTCTATTTCCAATTATCAATACAGCTATGTTTTGAAGAACAAGGTTCATGCAAATTTAAAATTGAAGAAAGTTCAATAAAGCATTTAAACAATGTTTCAATAGTTCTAGATCTTGTGAAGAAGTTAATGAATAAATTCATGCATAAGTCACTTTTTACTTTTATATTTATTCGCGTGCGTGGCTAAGTGGTTAGAGCGTCTGCTCTAGAGTCGCAGAGTAAGGTGTTGATCCTTACGTCGCGGGTTCGAATCACAATACGGGACGTGGAGACCGGCCCTGCGGATGAGACCTTCTAAACTGAAAACCCATGTTGCAGTAGATGCTGCCACAAAAAAGATCCCTCACTGCTCAAAGACCTTAAGTGCCGAGTACAGGTCTAAATTTGTAGCCCTCCACCGGCAAGTGCATAAATGCGTCTCAAAAATTATCGAAGAAACGTTAAACAAAAAACATTTTAGTATGCTCTCTCTCTCCCTCTCTCTCTCTCTCTCAAAATAGCGGATTTCAAGACTGCACGAATGAACATTTATTATAATTTAGGACATTAGCGTTATCTTGAATGTCAAGCAATAACTAATTTGAAGGCTAACACAGAACGAAAATTCCGTCTAAACTGTCCCAGACTGTTATCTTTGCACCATATGTTGACAGGGCGAAGTACATGTAACATTGAACTACAATTTGGATGACACTACCGACTTCTTTTGCATCATTTTAACCAAGAAAAAAATCAAAAGCAAACCAAGTGACCCTCAGTAGATAGGAAGATGACAGAAAATTCAAATCAAGCGAGTTTAATTATTTGTCTGTAGAGACGACTATTAAGGGTTAGGAGGTGGATAAAATATACATGTTGGTTAAAGAATATGTCTTAATTTAAGGAGTGAAAGGTAGTTGATTGACCAATGCTTGAAAGTGGAAAAATTCTCCTTAACCTTGCGCAGAAAATCTTGCACCGTAAATTGCACCATATTAATTTGCATTACAGGATCTGTAGCGTTATGGTCGAAGACTAAAATATAAAACAATAACGAAAAAAAAAAAAGAATCGGGAAAAAATTATTGATGATACTGATACCGATATCATAGATATATAGTGTTAAAGACTTCTCTTATGTTCTTATAAGTGTTGTTTGCAAACAAAATATAATCCTCCTTTTTTATAATTATAAATATCATCAAAAATATCTAAAGACTTTACATTCATCATCTTCTTTTTTCACAATGACAGATCTATATCAGAATCTAATGTGTAGTACTCAAACACTTTCTCGTTTTTGAATTATCTATTGAGATAAAACGAGGATAATCATTCAATTTTACGTTAATTAAATTAAAAAATATTTTCATTAAAATACATATCTTGAATTGGTGTAAATACTGTATGTAAAAAAGTTACAAACTGCACAAAATTTAAACTCCTATTTTCGAGTAGAATGAATAAAAGATAAACTACTGACAAAATCAACATGATCTTTTTTCTAATCCAAAATGTGATTTGTACATCTTTTACACGGGTAAAATCAGTGAGCAAAATGTCAACTTTAACAATAGAAAGCTGCTAAAGTTACATATTACACAAATTATAATTTCTACATGTACCAAGAAGCATGGATAAAATTCGTTTTTTAATCAATAGAAAATTATAGCATTCTATTTTCCTGAATTATTCCAAAATTAGTGACACATCTTCCATGAGTGTTCAACTACTGTACATTGTACAAAGTTTTAATAACGTGAAATGAAAAATTGTGAAGATACATATATATACACGTAAAACACAAAGAGTATACATGTACCTCTTCAGTGGGACGGACACACTAAGTGGAACGGTACCACAAACATGCAGTCGTCGTTGGTGACTTCAGTTTAAAAGATATAATCATGTACTGAATTGATAGTTTTTACGTGACCTCATAATTTTTTTTTCCACGACATGTATATACAAACGCAAGAATTCATGTTTGCATATAAATAAGATTAAGAAAAAATCAATAATAATTTTCATCTTAAGAACAGCAAAGCCATTATGTGTCATATTAATTCAAAAAGCATCCTTAGGAAATGTAGATGATTTTTGCTTTTTCCTTGCCAAAGTGCTCAGGTGAGCGATGTGGACCCTGGGCCTCTTGTTTTCAATAAAGATGTTTTAATAAGCATCATTTTGAAAATGATTGTAACATAATTAAATCTCAAAATCCTATACAGTGTGAAGTATTAACATGGCTTTCTTAACTTCAGTTATTACTTCTGTCAGTGCAAGTAGAATAAAAAGAATTACTCAGTTCAACAATAATTTAAAAAGTCTACATTCTGCTTTTCTAATTAAATTGAAAATATATGGGGTCAAAACTATCTTGAATGGGTGTAATTAATGTAAACAGAAAAAATATACATGTATACAAATTTCAGATTTTTTTTTCAATTTCGGGTAGAATGAAAAAAGCTAAACTTCAAAATCGACATGATATTTTTCTACTCTAAAATATGACTTGTACATCCTGAATATGTGAAAAATCAATGTTCAAAATTTCAGTGTTACCAATAAAAAGCTGTTGAAGTAACATGATCAAACTTTGCACTATCCATTTGCACTATAACAAGACGTGAAAAAAATTATCAATTACAAAAATACATAGCATTGAATTTTCCTAAATTAATCCAAAATTAGTTGCGCACATCTTCCATCATGTGTAAATAATAATTGTAAAAATTAAAAAAAAAAAAAAAAAAAAAAAAAAAAAAAAAGTTCAAGAACGTGAAATCAAAACTTCTTTAAGATATAAAACACTTAAAGAATGTATCTCCATCATGACTGTGACAGACTGACAAATAGTCCAATCCGCACTTTACAAAAGTTGTTTCCCTTTGCAGGGTCAAGCAAAAGGTCAAAAGGAAAAGAGCAATGTTTCTCTTCTTTTCACTACCAAACATATGGATAAGCTAGCTGTGAGAAATTCACTATGATGAAAAATTTTCCTTTTAATGTATGGCTAGTCCCATCCAAGGGCAATCAAAATATAAGATTCAATGACCATTTTTATATCAAATGACAAAGTTACAAACGTTTAAAGTTTCAAAAGCCATTGTGGGAATTCTATGGTTTTTCCCAAAAAAATCGCAGTCAAGGGACATTACTTTTGAAAAATGCAGATTCAGGCCAACATTTTTTAATAAAATGATTTACGGGAGCGCCGACTGCAATTTTAGCTGAAATCAAATAAAAATGTCCCTGTTGTTGATTTTATTTCTAAATTTCCCGCCGATCGTCAATGCAAGTGTACTAAGAAAATAAAATAATGTGCAAATAAGTCAGCAATTCTGATTGGCTGCTTTATTGAAAGCCATTATTATCATCCAATCAATTTGTGTTTGTTATCAACTGTTTCGGAAGTGTATAAAACGTGCCAACATGGATGCAGAAATGTCAAATTTTACAAAAGTTAAGAATACTTCGTCCTTATGCACGATAGTTTATTTAGATACGTCACATTTTATTCTTCACAAAATTCAAACGTCTATTTTCGATTTCCATTCTTTTACCACGTTCATCAAAGTATCAAACTTGTAAAAGAGAACTAATGTACAGTGTATACGGTACCCACAGCGAAAGTGACAGTCCTGTCAACATTATCCTCTAGTAAAATTATGCTGATCATTTCTTTAATTTTTTTTAACTCCAACTTAACTTCGTCATCGGACATACTCTAATTGATTTTCCTGTCAGCTGTGGTTGACTTGGAAAAACCCTGGATCACAAAATCTTGGGTTAATAGTGAACTTTTTCAGGAAACATCCTTGAAGGTCTTCATTATGCTTCTTTTGCATATGTTTTTATAATGGGTTCATTTTGGTGGTGAAAAACCTACAATGTGTTGCAGCACAAAAGTAGAAAGGAACCTTGGTCTTATGCACTTGTAGGTAATGTTGTCGGTAGGACCCGATCCGTTGAAACACATGGGGTCTGGATGTACAGTAGGGACATAAATTATTTTCATAGGTTTTTCATATTCCTCCCTTTATTCTCTGTTAAATTTTGATTATTACTTATTATTTGTTATCATTTACAAAGGTTAATTCTCACTTTATTAAATTTATAAAACTTACAACTGTGTTTTCATTTAGCGTTGATCATAGTTCAGATATCCCCTTACCTGGGTTGATTATTGATAACTGGAAATAGTTTACTGCTTTAAGCCAAGTTGGCTATTAACTTTGTTGATTTATCTATTAAAGAGTTCTACTTCCGGTTACATAATTTTTGGTAACAGGCGGGGAAAAATGTCAGCCAGACTGGGACTCGAACCCGGGACCTCCCGCTGACCGTGCGGGTGCTCTAACCACTGAGCTACCGGGTCGACGTACCCAGTCCCTCTTACACTCTTCCCCCCTTTTTCTTGAGGTTTTCTATCCTGAAAACCTCACCGAGACTCTTCTAAACCACCCGTGGGTTTTATTGTTGATATATACAAGAAGCGTTTTCAAACTTGTAACATTTTAAAATGATCATATGCAGCACTGTACAGACTGGAAATTCGTAAGTATTTTGTTGTGTGTTAAATAGTTTTAGAATAGATATAAACAGACACTGCAAACGAAATTATATTAAGTGTGTTAATACTTTCAAGCTTTCAGAAGTTTGTGTGCATGAACATATGCTGTATATATAGTAAAATAAGGTTTAAATCATGATTCTGTGTTTTATGTTATATGTTCAGATTCTCTTTATAACAATATTTTCCATTTTTGATTTGTTGGTTCATGATTTTTCAGTACTTTAAGCATATAGTGAGGTTCTCATGCATTATAAACTTTTTTTCTTTGGACATCATGTTGAGGTCATGATGAATATTTTGATAGGAAATTCCTTAGATTTCCCCCTATTTTTCATAAGTGTTTAATAGGTCTACTTTAATTTTTGTGTTGTGGTTATCATATTTTAAGCTCCACACCGTATATATGGCAATTTTTATTGAATGATTAAAAATGAAAAAATCAGACATTTTTTCCAATTTTATTTTTATTTTTTTTAGTCGACTGCGTAAAATTTGAAATTTTATTTTTATTTATCCCCCCGACCCAATTTAAAAAAAAAAAATCCCGTAAATCATTTAATAAAAAAATGTTGGCCTCAACTGTCGAGCGTTTGCTATCGACATGCGCTCATCGTTGGCGACACAGGTGAAAAGAAATAATCATGATGACATTTCCACTGAATTGTTTATTTTTACTTACACTTTTACAATTCTCTTTCTTCGACATGGAAGAAGCAATAATTCAAGTCTGCATATAAAGTAGGTTAGAAGAAAATATAATTCGTGGCTTATTTACATTTGTTCTCGTATTTCAAAATCAGGATTTGGGATTCCTTCGTGATCAAGTTGTTAGACTGCAGGCGGAACACCTCCAGGAGTTACTTTAAATATAAGAGGTAAACAATTATATACGATTCAGACCTTATTCTGTTGGTCGCGCATCGGATTCTTTGTTATCGGTATCCTCTACCGATATGGGATGTTCAAATATCAGATGGAAATGACGAATCAACGTGCCCCCAGCAAAGGATTCGATGATGCCACCAATGACACCTGCAATAAAATTTCCTATTCCTGGTACCACTGAACCAACAGCTGCACCAATTTTTGGTGCATATTCTTTTCTAAATGTGTCAGCGTTAACTTTTCTGATGGATACAATGTATTTATTAAACTTGTCCAGATTTTCCTTGCCTTTGGTTCCCAAATTGAGCTTGTCAAGATGGTCTTTTAATAATTCTGTATTTGTGATATTGTACGGCTTCCCTTGTCCACGCATTGGCTGCTTTTCCTTAGAACCAAATTGAGGTATAAATTCTTCTCTAATTTTATCATAGGCCGCTTTCTGAAACTTTATTTCGGCAATTTTTGTTTCCCCCTTGCACCCTTTATTCTCATACTGAGCTGAGTGGTCAATCGTTTCCGTAACCTACTTTTCTGCAGTATGCATCTTTCTCCTCTTTTTTAATTGAGTAGTAGGTTTTTGGATTCCATTAGGTTCTCGAATTCCTCTTTGACATTTTCCGAAAAACGTACCTGTACTGCTTACTAGCTCTGTGAGCAGCAGGAGCTGCAATAGGAAATGCATCGTGTGTTAAAAAATTCTCAACTTTAATGTAGAATTATTCATTACTATCATCTGTATTGGTAACTTCTAAGAGTTCCATGGTACCTCGATTAATCAAGTGCTAAATGAAAGAATTGCATTATATCATGTTATGTTTTTCAGAAATCAAAATATGTTTTATTGTGTTATACGTCTGTATTTCAGTTTCAAAATGATATAGACAAAAAAAAAAAAAAAAAAAAAAATCATTAACAATAAAATTATTTTCTTTCTTTTTAAGTGGAAAACTTTTTAATTTTGTGTCTACTAAGGGTGGCACACCCCCATCTTCATCCCCACTTATATATTTATTAGTCAGCACTGAATTTATCATTTCCATTTCAAAGTGTACAGACGTTCAAAAACATTTAATTACAAGTGTAGTCTAACACATACATCACCAAACATGTACATGTGCGAGAGAGAACAGGAAACTCCCTATAATCAAAACTATGTTTCGAAACTGCGTTATTGATATTTAATGAGCAAACTTGTTACGAATACGAGTGTTAATATTTATTATTTTAATTACACTTGTCTTTACCAGCCACGTATAGCATCGTTTTTTGTTTTTTTTTTGGGGGGGGGGGGGTTGTTGTTGTTTTTTTTTTTTTTGTTTTTTTTAGTGGGGGGGGGGATATAATTGACAACTATCCGGAAAAAGCTGGAAAAAAATCGTTGATGAGGAAAAAAGGGGGTGCCCAAACACGAAAATCTATTTTGTATGGTGCGGATGGGGGATTAATTTTCTTTCTCTTTTGTTGGTTTAGCCCCCCCCCCCCCCTCTTTTCCATTTGCTTCCGACGCCTATGCATATTGGATCTCTAGATGGAAACTTAAACTGAAGAATGCAGATTTGACTTTTTTGTTGGTACTGCAGATGGAAAATATATGAACAATGGCAAAGTTAAAACATTCTTATTTCCAAAAAAAATCGTTCTGAAATATAGCTAGACTCCCTTGCTTGGGGGGGGGGGGGGTATTATGGTGCATGTGACATACATGTAAAATCAAGGACCATATGTTACTAAGCATCCGTGTTCATTATATACATACTAAAAAGTGCCTACACGCCGGCTGCATGATAAGATTTATGATATCAAAGATATTTATTTTGCATATATACGGTACATAAATGTACGTTCCGATTTTTTTTTTTTAAAGGTGACCCGGCTTTAAATGAACAGAACAGCAATACATAATTGTCAACAATTTCTTTTACATCAAGCTACTTTCGTTTTGGATTGAGAATAAAAACTGTTCAAAGATCGAGAAATGAAAGAAATATATGCATGTTTCCTTGTCTCTGATATGAATATAATACCATTGTATGGCTGCATATTTTTTTATTTTGCAAAATTTAAACTTATAACGAAATTTTTAAAACCTAATTAAATTATCACCCTGACAAACACATGTTTAATATTTAACTAAGTTGATGCCCAAAATCACTCCCTCAAGAAGAAGTGAAAGACTGGTTTATAATTAATTTAATTGACATGGTACAAAAATTCAAGGATAATTTCTAAATGTAATTCACAGGAAATAATCCATGTTTATTATATATTTTCACATGTACATTTATAAATTAATAATTCTAGTAAATGGTCAGAATTTTAATCAATGATGAGCAAATGGCTATTCTGAAAAAGGGATTTAAAAATCTTTAAATGCTGCCAAGATTCACAGATACATTACTTATTTACACTTTCTTATTTAATTATTTTTAGTTTTAAAAGATATGCACGGAAAACTTGAGTTAATTACAATATATCTGTCTTTTTACTTTTTGACCACCCCTACATTATAAAACACACACATATATTTATATTTCATGATAAGAATTAAGACAAATAGATCTTGACGAGCTAAGGTGATCGGGTGCGATGGAAATCTTTGAGATCGGGATCGAACTTCGTGTCACCCTTTGTTTGTCCGCCATTTTACCGGCTCCGACAACGTGATTTATACGATTTTTCACGATGGCGTACAAAGGAGGGCAAAAAGTGCAGAAGGTTATGGTACAGCCTATTGTATCCTTTTATGTGATGTGCAAATTTCTGCAGATTTGCGCTTCGGTGAAAATTCAATAGAAATTTGACTGGCTAGTAAATCGATACGGAAACCCGTACCCACGCTATGTGTTAATTCACGGGCACTGGAAGTTGATGTAAATATTGAGTATGTGCATGTATAAAAAAGGACCTTTTTATACATGCACATACTCAATATTTACATTAACTTCAAGTGCCGTGTGTTAATTAGTCTAATATAGAAAATACTGGCCTGTTATTCTAAGTAAATGTGCATGACAAACTTTTTGTATCGTCTGATCATACTGATGGGGTTCTTGGGGTAGTACTGTAGAAATGAAAGTCCATCACGACATCATTGATTTAGTTGTAGCTGCAGATCTGTAGCTCGCTGGTCTGAAAAAAGTTGGGATGGACGACCAGAGAGCCACAGTGCTACCCATTGAAAAAAGTATATATTTATTGCGCACAAAAAGTGTGTTGTTTCTCGATTTATTCTTATGCTCCTTTACGCTGCCATCTCAAAATATTACTAACCGTGTGTTTCTAAACTGTTCTTTAACTTTTTCCACAACAAAACATTCACCAAAACCGTCAATAATAGCCCCCCTGGGTCTGAAATCGAGACCATTGGAAATTTCGCCTTTTTATACTGCCATTTTGGAGGGTAAGATAATTCGGTCCAACGCACTGCGTACTTTACTTGTATTTCAATCTCGTAAATTTTCTGATTTGAGACATTTAAGCATTCAATTATTTTTTGCAAGACGTAGTCTCCTAACTGCAACGATGTGTGCAAACAAGTTGAGTAACATGCATTTATTAAATAAAATTGCATCTATTGTACAAGGCCTTTGGTTAAAAAATAAGCAGTTTTAGACTTATGGAAATATAAAAAATGTACATACAGTTTTGTTGTGGAAGAAGTGAAAGAATACGGTAGGAACATACAGTAAGTAATATTTTGAGATATACGAGAAATAAATTGAGAAACTGTGAAATTTTTTGTGCATAATTAATATACACTTTTTTCAATGGGTGGCACTGTAGCTCTCTGGTCGTCCATCCCAATTTTTTTTCAGACCAACAAGCTACAGATCTGCAGCTAATTTAGATGTTTTTTGGATGTATACTCGAAGAGAGAGCTACAGTGCCAACCATTGAAAAAAGTGTATATCTATTGCACATACAAAAAAAACATGTTGTTCCTTGATTTATATCTACATATATATCAAAATATTACTAACCGTGTGTTCCTAACATATTCTTTTACTACTTCCGCAACAAAACTTGACACCAGCTTAGATAAGGCAGTAGCTCTTTTTAGAGAGTTCATTATTCATAGCTTATTTTACCCATACATATAATAATTATACAGACCTGACCAGTAAAACTGAATTTATTGCAGCTCAAGAGTAGGTGCCTGGATCAGTTTTAACACTAACAATCATAATAGACTCAAGAGTATGGAAAACTCAGTAAGAAATATCATTGTGTGGAAAAAGCCTTTTTTTCACTTCGAAGTTGAGTTTTGCTTTTCATAGATTAGAAAAGTCTTTAAAGTGTACATATAATTGTTATCACTTGATAAAATGTTATGTTTATCAGTTAAAATATTTTTTCTTTAACATTGACTAGAATCTGATTTTCAGATATCTACAGAATGTAAGTATTTCATATATATATTGACTCCTTTTCAGTTTAGATCAGGTGTGGGTATCCAACAATGTCAATTAATTGACATCATATGTTTGACTGTTGCATTTAAATAACCAAGTAGGTTTTAAATTACACAGGGTTGGCAAAAAACCGGGAAATACTCATATTTCCCAGAACAGTGGGAAATACTGGTAATTGCCGGGAATTACTGGTATTTCCTGGGAAATACTGGGAAATAAGAAATAGCTACATATTTCATAATTTTAATCATATTTGTCAAGGTATAGACATGTAGTACACATTACTGGCTAAAATGTCTACCTGGTATCATTGTCCTGTTTTAAAAATTTCTGGTTTCCAAGTTACTCATTTTATATAATCATAAAACATTATATTCATATAGGACCTTCATATACCAGTCTTGAGTTCCATTTGTTTCATGCTTGAATCAGATGTAGTCTATAAGGTTTTTGAAATGAACCCAAAGATCCCAATTGGTTTTTTATTTAACTAAAGAGGGATCAAAGAAAATTATTAAATGTAGAGCATGGTGTAAATATCAAACCTTAGTAGAGGCCTTACAGTCCTACTCAATGTAATTATCTGTCAAAACGGGAACACAAAACTGTCCAGAGCAATTTGTTAAAACAATATGATTGATTGTAATAAGTACAGTGTTTATATAAGAATTAAAACAAGTTTGTTTTGTTCTTGGATTTTTAATTAATAAACTAATTTTACAAAACTGAAAAGAAAATTGAATTTGAAAACTTCAGATTTGTTTTTTAATATACAGCCAGGGAAATGTGTACTGCTTCAGAATGCTTATGAGTAGCAGACCTAGAGTAGTGATACATTCTGAATATTAAATTGCATTTTGACACATATTCAGTATAAGTCATCTTTTGTTTTTATGTTTATTTTATTTCTGAATTTTGTATAGGATTGAATGAAATCAATGAATGAAAGACACAAAGTACTCTTAGTCTAACTTTGTATTATCCAGTATTTCCCAGTTTAGGGAAAATTGTAGTATTTCCCGGGATGGGAAATACCGGTATTTACCACTGGTAATTCCCACCACTGGTATTTCCCGGCCAACCCTGAAATTACATGCATTAATTTATTGATTAATTGTTTATCAATTTAAGTGTAGCCATCAAGTATAGGTTTTCTTTTGAAATTTTGCTTTAGTTATCAATTTTTTTTTTTACAGAGATCACGGATATCAGTGTGGTTATATGAACAAACAAATCTCAGAATCGAGGGCTGTATTGTGGTAAGGTCAAAGTTTAGTTTTCCTCTAGGTAATAAGAAATGGGAGATCAATCTTATATAAGTCATTGTGTGCCAAGACATTGATCTAAGAAATGAGGAGTGACATTATGAAATATGTGTCAGAATCATGGCCTCTTTCTTGTGAGATATAGAATATTTCAGAAATGACTAGTTTTGGGTATTTTTAAGGGTATTTTATACTCTTTGAAATGTGTGATGATTTGCATAAACAAGAATACTGTTAATGCATGTTTCCTCATGTGTCCCACCGTATACATGTACATAATCCCAAAACATTCCTAAACTAAGATTGTTTTCTCTCCATGGTCACATTTAAAATTTAGAAACATTTTCCCCAAGTCAAAAAATTTCAAGCACATAAGCATCAGTATAATACATGTGAGTTAATGCTGTCTGCATGAACTTTAACACCCTTTTAACTTTAAAGAGATTATCACTGATATCAGTGAACCACTATTTGATAATTTTCACTAAAAAGAATACCATTCTGAAAAAAAAAATTTAAGTAATTCTCTTGGTTATTGAAAAAAAAACCCGGAAAAGAAACTCTTATAGTTATTATGATATTTAAGAATTAGGAAAAAAATTGAAGAAAAAATATTGTCAACATTGCTGTATACTCTGGTGTTCAGCTAGTTTATCTGACACTGAATATTTAGGTTTTATTTCAAGGGTTGATTAAAATGATATACATTGTACTCATATATATTTTTCATTATAATGCTTCAAATATTGTAATATCCAATATGGAAGTAAGACTAATTTGCTGGATATAACTGTAACTGTTACATCTATAGAGTTAGTCAAATGAAAATCTACAAAATCTATAGTTGTGATCATTAAGTTGTACATGTATAAAGAAAAGACTGAAAAGGGTTTTTAGAAAGACTTTAACTTTGAAAGAAGCCTGCAAGACAATGAATGCATTCTTTGTGATTAATTTTTAAAGGGTTTTGATGAATACATGAATCTGGTTTTGGACGAGGCAGAGGAGGTTCATATGAAGACAAAGAACAGAAAAACACTAGGTGGGTTGATAGAAAAAGACATTGTGTGTGTCTTTATATACACAGTAACCTCCCTTTTGAGCTCACTTGAGCTGAAAAGTAAGCTTTTCTGAGGCCAAAATAAAAAATACTTTTGTTTTCCCTAACGCGACCGACCCAATTGAATCCCGCTGACTGAAAAGTTTTTTTTAAAGAAGAATGATTCAAATATATATATATATTTTTTTTATATTTATCAACTTTTATAAAATACAATTTCATCAAAGCCCGTTCTTATCAGAAATTCAGAATACATTTTCAAAACTGCTTTCAGAAAAAAAATATTTACCTACCTACGTACTCAATTTCAGATTTTAGGGTCGGGTTAGGGGAAACAAAGATATTTTTAATGATGGCCTGATCACATTTTGTCTGTAGTCCATCTGTCTGTAAACTTTTCTCATTTTCAACTTCTCAAGAACCACTGTGTCAATTTCAACCAAATTGCCACAAAGCATCCTTGAGTGAAGAGTCAAGTTTTTTTTTTTTTTCAAATGAAGTCCCATGCCCTCTTTCAAGGGGAGATAATTAAGAATTAGTGAAAATTTGCTGTTTATCTTTTAAAATTCTTGTTCTGAAGACCCATTTAGCAGAAAAAAGGCTAAACTTATGTGAAACTTTCTTTACATAGTGAAGATTCAAGTTCGTTCAAATCATGACCCTGCCCCTAGGGTAGGTTGGGGCCACGATAGACAATTAGAGTTTTACATGGGGAAAAAACTTTTTAAAAAAATTCTTCTCAAGAATAGCAGAGCCATGATTGATTATATTTATGTGGAAGCATCCTCAGGTAGTGTAGATACGATTTTTTTTTTCAAATTATGACCCCAGGGGGTAGGGTTGGGCCACAATGAATGATCAAAGTTTTACATTGGAATACATTAAAAATCTCAAGAACAGCAAAACCAAGATTGGTCATATTTATATGGAAGTATCCTCAGGCAGAATCTGTCTGCTATATAGATTTACTTTTTTCCTAATTTCTAAGAATACAACAAAATTAAAACAAAAAACAAAACTTTGCATAAAACATTCGACAACAAAAATGAAATTGAAAATGAAGCTGTTCTAAAAATCTAATTTTTAATTACCATCACTGTGGGGTTCAATTTATTCCTATGATAAATACTCAACATTATGTCCACTAGCTGCAATAAGGTAGCCCTTTCCGTTTTTTTTAATCTGACATTTTCTGGAGAGGGCTATAATTCCACAGCATCTCCATAATGGTGCAAATATATTTTTTAAATACAGGCGACTGCAGGCTAAATAAATTGTTTTAACATTCAACTTACTTCTAATAAGACAAAATTTTTTATTCACTTTCAACAACATAGCCCGTTAAACGCGAAAACCAGGTAAAATAAATCTGCGTGTTCACCAATCGCTCTTCCTCAGCAGCCATGACAGTTCTTGTGTGATGTACCGAGACTTGCGCTTGGAATTTAGAATAATGTAATAAAGCAAATGTCAGTGTTTATAAATGATTGTGTTGTTTGGTCTCACTAAACATTGATAAATAAGTACCATTCCATGTGACATTTTTTCGTAAACACCGGTACATAGGCCTGAAATAAGGGAATTCCTATATAGATCTGCTCCCCTTGATCCCGAACTCTCATCTGTCCCAAAATAAAATCGATCAAGGTCAGTAAACATGGCGCATAAATTCAAGTTTTGATGTTGACATACATGAAAAATAACCGATATACAGATTGTTCTGTATATGCTTGGACCGATTTAAGTCTTGCATAACTAGATTATAGGAGTTCAGGTAAGAAATATTAATAAACTAGCCATGCATTTACTGATAATTTGACCCGAAATCTGTGTGAGAGTGAAACACTTCCGCACTTGCACCATTACGGAGATCCTAAGGAGTTGCAGCCCTTCCCCCCCCCCCCCCCCCCCCAAAAAAAAAGGGAGAGGGCTACATTATTGCAGCTATATGTCCACGAAAAAGAATATAATATATTCCACTTATTGCATGTCTCATTTAGAAATGTTTGTCAAAAAAGGAGAGGATATGAATTTTTTTCATGTCTTGCAGTAAAAAATATTTTCCAAGTTTTTCTATTATTAACATGATTAAGTTCCATTAGTCTTCATTTTCGTTTTCTTCACCTTATTTATGGGACAACTATTAATTATGAATTTAAAGAAACTCTTAAAGCTTTTTTAGCTCTACTGGTCAGAGACCAGAAGAGCTTATGCGATAGTAAGGTGTCCGTCGTCCGTCCGTCTGTCTGTCTGTCTGTCTGTCTGTCTGTCTGTCCGTCTGTCTGTAAACAATTTTTCAAAACGCTACTCCTCCTACAGTTTTGGTCTGATTTCAATATAACTTGGCACACAAGTAGACTACACTAAGATACATAATTTAGTGCATCGGTTTTTGATTTCCATGAACGGTGTTGCCATGGTTACTAAAAATAGAAATTTCTGTGAAATTCCTTTAAAACGCTACTCCTCCTACAGTTTTGGTCTGATTTCAATATAACTTGGCACACAAGTAGACTACACTAAGATGCATAATTTAGTGCATCGGTTTTTGATTTCGATGAACGGTGTTGCCATGGTTACTAAAAATAGAAATTTCTGTGAAATTCCTTTAAAACGCTACTCCTCCTACAGTTTTGGTCTGATTTCAATATAACTTGGCACAAAAGTAGACTACACTAAGATGCATAATTTAGTGCATCGGTTTTTGATTTCGATGAACGGTGTTGCCATGGTTACTAAAAATAGAAATTTCTGTGAAATTCCTTTAAAACGCTACTTCTCCTACAGTTTTGGTCTGATTTCAATATAACTTGGCACACAAGTAGACTACACTAAGATGCATAATTTAGTGCATCGGTTTTTGATTTCGATGAACGGTGTTGCCATGGTTACTTAAAATAGAAATTTCTGTGAAATTCCTTTAAAACGCTACTCCTCCTACAGTTTTGGTCTGATTTCAATATAACTTGGCACACAAGTAGACTACACTAAGATACATAATTTAGTGCATCGGTTTTTGATTTCGATGAACGGTGTTGCCATGGTTACTAAAAATAGAAATTTCTGTGAAATTCCTTTAAAACGCTACTCCTCCTACAGTTTTGGTCTGATTTCAATATAACTTGGCACACAAGTAGACTGCACTAAGATACATAATTTAGTGCATCGGTTTTTGATTTCGATGAACGGTATTGCCATGGTTACTAAAAATAGAAATTTCTGTGAAATTCCTTTAAAACGCTACTACTCCTACAGTTTTAGTCTGATTTCAATATAATTTGGCACACAAGTAGACTGCACTAAGATACATAATTTAGTGCATCGGTTTTTGATTTCAATGAACGATGTTGTCATGGTTACTAAAATAGAAATTTCTGTGAAATTCCTTTAAAACGCTACTCCTCCTTCAGTTTTGGTCTGATATTAAAATAACTTGGCACACAAGTAGACTTCATTCAGATACATTATTCTATTATTGCTGCATGTTGCAAAGTTTCAAATCCAAGTGCTACTTTTCCTTTGTTATATGTGCAGACCAGTAGAGCTACAGTCTCATCAGAGACTTCTGGTTTGTTTCAAACATTAAATAGTAAATACAAAGGAATTATTGAAATTTGATAATAATGCCATCTTAACTTAATTTTCATCAGTAATACATATATATTTTCTTGAAGCAATGTGAAATGTTTTGATAAGTGATGCAACTGTATCCAATATATTGAATTATAGGCATAATACTTCTGCAAAAACTTCAAGAAAAGTGTCTACCTGAACATTCCGCATAATGACTGGAAATCATTAACAATAAATCAATTCCTGAGTTTATTATATTTTCCAAAACTTGGCAAAAGTAGTGTTACATTTAATAGTCTCTCATTTTGATGAAAGAAATTACGAAGTATTGCACTACTTTAATTAAAAAAAAATGTGTCCTCCTTTTTACATTTCTAACCTAGTACATATTCTCTTTTGAGGAGGTGACAGAGAAAAAAAATCAATCTTAATGAATACATCTGTTTTACAGGACGAATCATGTTAAAGGGAGACAACATTACATTGATCCAGCAAGTTCAGTGATGGTGAATGGATAGAGAGATTGTGTGGCAGTGCGAAAGTGTGAACAACAATGATACTGTAACCTTTATACAGTTTTCTGTTATTTTAGAAGCAGCAAACAAGAGATCATGCATTTTAAATGTTGTATATTATGTGAAGATTTTTGTGTTTTTGTATAAGTCTTTGAAACAGCTGTTGATATTTTTTTTATATAAGATGAGAGATGGTTTGATCTCTTAGTAAAAAAGGAAATCTTGAGGAAAGATATGGGGAAAGTAGTGATTAATAACTCTTACACTGTGAAGAATGCAGCTACAATTGAATTGATAAATCTTTTCTGTTTTATTTCATCAGTCATTGTCAATTTTTTCATGTTAAAAACTTTCATCAAAAGAAGCCGAGTAAATTTACAGTTATCAGTTATAACATAATGTTTTCTCATACAAAAATCATGAAATATTAAATTTTATATTGTGAAGAAGTCTTTTGTTTTGAATTATGTTTGAACATGTTTAATTGGTGTCTTGCACCTATGCACTCCTTATCTTATTTTGTCATTATTGTCAATGGTGTCTACAAAGGTCTACCACTCTACCAAGTGCATTTAATTAAAAATCTAAGATAGAAGCACAACCCTTGATATAAGAGAAAAAACATTATAAGTTACACAGTTAAGGAAGCTCTAAACACTAATGAAAAATGCTTTTTGGACTTTTGGAAAAATATATCATATAAAGGTGCACATATTCAGTGTATCTAGTTCATTTTCAACATAAGGTGCCTGCCTTATTTTTGCAGAAAAAATGTTCAAAGACAAGGAACTATTTGTGAACAGAAATTATTGTTGTTTACTTACATTGGGAAAATTAATAGAAATAATGTATTTTATTACTTACTTAGGGCCCTGCTCTGCGGGCACCCTATAGTGATCAGTCTATCCATCCATCCGTCCCTCTGTCCGTCCGAGATCTCTTGTCCGGAGCATATCTTCTCTCTCCTTGGCCAAATCTGGCTCATACTTCACCCACAGAGTGTCTTTGGAAAAGAGTGTGCAGTGACCTTGAACCATGTTTCAGGGTCTAAGGTCAAGGTCATAGCAGAATTATATGAAAAACCCTTGTCCGGCGCATATCTTCTCTCCTCTTGGCCCATTGTGACTCATACTTCACTCACAGAGTGCCACTGGTCAATGGATGTGCAGTGACCTTGAATGAAGTTTCTAGGTCAAGGGTCAAGGTCAAAAATAGCCTCTCTGTTTAAATTCTTGTTCGGAGCATATTTTCTCTCTCCTTGGCCCAATCTGGCTCATACTTCACCCACAGAGTGCCTTTGTGTAAAGAGTGTGCAGTGACCTTGAACCATGTTTATACGTCTGAGGTCAAGGTCATAGCAGAATTTTATGAAAAATCCTTGTTCGGAGCATATCTTCTCTCCTTTTAGTCCAATGTGGCTCATACTTCACTCTCAGAGTGCCACTGATCAATGGATGTGCAGTGACCTTGAACGAAGTTTCTAGGTCAAGGGTAAAGGTCAAAAATAGCCTCTCTGTTTAAAATCTTTGTTCGGTACATGGTTCCTTTCTCTTAAGTCCAGTCTGTCTCAAACTTTACCAGTTGACTCCATATTTTGATGGAGGATATGCAACAGTTTTCATAGAGGATATGCAACATTCGTGCTTTTTGTGCCGCTTTTTGATAGAGGGTATGGAGCACTCATGATTTTTGTGCCATTTTTTATTATAACAAGGATGACATAGAAGCCCTTTAGACTCGAACAACTCATCCCTTAATAGTACACAAGTGTTCCTCTTCAAAATAAACCCTTTTCAGCTACCTTACATTTTCATGTTTGTTGCTGAAAGCGGGGCCCTTTGAGATGGCCACCATCTCAATGATATCTAGTCTTGGTCTAGTATAACTTTAAGAATTCTTTAATTCATTACAAATTGTGTTATTAACTGTAGATTCCCGTTTATTCAATTTTTCTTCTTAGGGCAGATCACTCCGAGTAAAACTACCCGACAAATAGACCTCTTTAATGTGCAGTGTTTAGAGCTTCCTTAATTTGTGACCTAATACGGAGTTATCGAAGGTTTGAAGACACACACTGGAAATCCATAGTGGGTGAGGCCAAGCTGATTTCCATTTCTGAATCACATCCTGGATGACTCCATATTAGGTCACAAACTGTGTAATGAAGTTATCCTGCTGGAGACCTTATCATTGAACATCATACATTCTCAATATTTCATCATCACAATTATAGATACATACAATAAATTTCAACAAACTGTTTGCTTGTAGCCATTTGTGTACATCAGATTGCTCCGAGATGGTGTATTAGAAAATTTCAGGGTGTTGTGATGTTTTTAGCCATCAGAATTCTGAAAATTTGTCAGGAGCAGGATAAATGATTAACTTATTAGTAAGTAGATCAATCAGAATATATAATTAATTTTGGAACTTGAAGTTGTGCTTGGTGTTTGTTTTTTTTTTAATTCATAAATTACATAGAGAAGCAAAGAATTCTCGTCATTTTTTGTAGTCATGAACCATGATTCAAATTGATAGTTGATGTGCTGCCCAACTGAACTTGAAATTTTTTCAAAATTTTACAGGGCCAAATAATGCCACTTGTAAAATTTGCTCTTCAATTGGAACAATGTGTACTCATAATATATCAGAAAATTTATTAATAGCTTCAAAGGTTTGATCGTCAATTTTACATACATGCACTAATACATACACTGTATCAATCTACCAAAACACAAAAACATAGTTTATACAATGCAGGCACATAATACCATTTTTGAAAATTGGGGGGGGGGGGGGGGGGGAGAAAAAAAATTTACAACCTAGGCCATCTATAAAAAATATGTTTGCTTGCCCTCTCCCGACTCAGAATAAAAATATTGGTTTGGTAGGTAGGGGGAAAACTTTTTTTAAGAGAAACACTTGCAAATATCGTTAAAATAGGTTTTAATGGGATCAGAAAACTCAGAAATGAATAAAAAAAAAAAAGTTTTCTGGAGGTTAAAAAAAGTTTTGAGTCGGGTCATTTTTAGTCAGTCGGTCGGGAGAGGGCAACCAACCTATTTTTTAAAGATGGCCTTACCAGAAAAAAAGAAAGGAAAATTGTCCAAATCCTATTTCAGTGATTGGGGTGGGGCTGTTAGGTAGGGTCCAACTTTTTTCACAACCAAATTTTATTCATACTTTACCACATTACTCAGATTTGACTAAACTGTAAAAAAAAAAGGGGGGGAGCCTTTCAATGAACATTTTCAACAGTAAAAGGTTATATTTGGGAAAGGGGGGGGGGGGATTTTTCTCACCAACATGTACACCATATCATTCCTTCCATATTTTTCTTTTTCATATAACAGCTACGTTTTTTTTTTTGTTTGTTTTTCTTTTTTGTTTTGTTTTTTTGTTTTTTGTTTTTTTTTCCTTAAAAAAAACATTTTTCACTTAGAGTTATCATTATTCATGCAAATTTACATCATCAACAGAGGGGCATAATGCAGCCAAACAGGATATTAGAAAAATAACTTATAGAAAAATAACTTAAACAAGTTATTTTACACACACAAATTCTTCTAATGATAACTTATACAAGTTACTTTTATATCCTACTTGGACATTGATTTCTTGAGGGTTTCATATTCCTGCCAAAATGTATTGTATTTTGGGATTCCATTGTGACGTAATACAAGATGCAGTGCACAGACTCCAGTGGAAAATTGGTGAGGAAGTGGAGACAAATATTTTACTTCTTATTTTATTGTTTTGGTCAAGTTTTTATCATTAAATAAATGATTTTTCCCAAGACTTTGGACAATTTTTTTGTAATGACCAAGGTTTTAATTTAACCAAACATTTGTTTTTGTCTTGGTGCATAGGGTGTGAAGTTAGGGGAGAACGACACAAAATAACTTGAACAAGTTATCATTTAATTGAAGCTATTTTGGAAAGATATAACTTGTTTGAGTTACTAATAATGGGGAAAAGTAGGACAGAAGCTCACTGTCACCAAAAAATATCTCATTTGAGTTATTTTTGGCAATAACTTGTTTGCATTATGCCCCTGACTTGTATACAAAGGGTAAAATCATTATTTAATTGTTTAAATTTATGCATCTTATTTATAAACACATTTAACATTAAAAATCAATTTATTTTCTAAATGTTTTTCTGTGGCTTTAGATTTTTTTTTTACTGTAGCTTTAGAGGAATTAAAGCACATGTACATGGTGTATATTAAGACTAATCTTTCAAAGATGCACCATTTCAGTTCAAATTTAGAAATACATTCAAAGAATTCCCACTTACATGAATTACCTCTTCATATATACATAGATATAATTTCCTGAATGTTTACAGCAAATGTTAAAAAATAAATAATATTAAAACAGATTGAAAGTTCATTATATAAAATTGTACAAAATATATAGAAAAGAAGAAATGTTTTTCCACAGAGTTGCAGAACAGCAGTACATGTAACACATTAATAAGACTAGTGTACAATGTAATGTAAATTATAAAAAAGATAAAAAATTATTCACAGAAATGCTTTCCCAGATGTGCAGTTTTTCAATGATGATGCATGAATTAACACAACTTAATTTCCTTATAGAAAAAAACTGAAATTCCTTAGACTGATACCTTAAACAATACTGTAAAATCAGAAATAATTATTAAGTATTTTTGCAGTATACGCACAACTCATGAAATACTAAGTATAAAAAAATGCCCCCTTTTGTTTATTGCTGAAATCTTGATTAAAAGTCAGCTTGTGAATTCATCATCTCACGGTTTGATGTCTACCAGTTCCTTTGCAATGAAGTGATCTGGACCACTGATGTCAGCCTGGTAGCTCTCAGTTCAGCCATAAATTTTCTCCATTCATATTACAACTATATTAAGTACCCAACCTTGAAAATTGTTAAGTTAATTTAAAAAATATTGTACATGGCAATAAAATACAATACATAATTATATTAAAACATTCAGTAGAGATTCTAAATAGTTTGTAAATTATAGAAGAATATTCCTTTTTTGCACAAACAAAAATTCCTAAGCATGATGAATTTTACATTTACAACCCTCCAAAAAATGAAAAAAAATAAATACCCTGGTAAAGGAATTAAACAATTGCTGTCTAGCAAGTCACCTTCATCCAGCTCCCTTGGAAGCTGGTAACTGGATTGTCAAATGCTTTGATTCCCTATTGGGATCTAATCCTAACCCAGGAGTCATGATTTTAACAAACTTAAAGAGGTCAAAAATGTAAAAAAGCTAATAGATAGAAAAACAATGACAGAAAAACATTGATAACTCATTGATAAGCTCACTTGCATTGGTCATGTTGGTGCAGGTGAGTTAATAGTGTATAAAAAAAAATGGTAAAATTTAAATATAAAACCAATTTGACATAATCAAGATAAAACTACATGTAATTATGAACCTACAAAAAAATCGATGTTCTTCATGATGATCTCTTCGATATTGCTGTTAAATGTCTTTTGGGTTCTATGTCTTTTGTACTTTATTTATCGTCCCATACCTTTCTAGTCATTTTTTCAGATGCCCCAAGAATTAAAGGTATATTGGCATTTTCTCCCTCAGACTCTGGCTCATCTTCATTTCTGGTTATATGTGTCACAGTTTTACAAAGTTCGTCTGCTTCTTCAGGATCGAGTTTGACCTCATGATGATGATGATGATGGTCAATCACTTCTGCAGATTCCTTCAGTTCTTGGACTTTATTTAAGTCATTTTTCCCTTGGGAAGGATCAAAGCATTTTCTATCATCATAATTCCCATCCATATCTACTCTGCGGAGCGGTTCCTGTTCAGATTCAACATCCATAACAAAGGGGCGTAATAATTGTTTTCGTTTATTATTTGTTAAAAACCAAGCTTTTGTTAGCATCCATCTCTGATGACAGAATTCACTGAGAGTAATAACATCCTTAAATACGTATTTATGTAAAATGAACAAGAAGAAGGTTCCCAGTACTAGTATTACCAAAGTTACCAAAAAGAGAAGGAAACAAACTGACAGATGATCAGTAGGTTCACACTGCTCTTTGTTGTGGACATTTTCAATTAAATTTTTTATTATGAGTTCCATGTTTGTTATATTTATTTCCTGTATTTTTATCAACTCGCCATTTTTTCTAATTTGTTCTAATAAAGAATAATTCTGCTTTTGATATGTTTGAATAACTTTCTTCAGTTCATTTTCAATCCTATGAAGGTTTTCATTTTCCAGAAAAAGATCTAATGGAGAGGAAATGTTTCCATATTCCTCAAAACACTGGCGATAAAGGTAACTTTGAGAGGAATAATACAGTTTTTTGCATGGGGTGTTGGTGAAATTGAGGCATGGGGCTGCATGATTTGGCTGAACTCTCAGTTCTGACCCATTGTTCAATTCTGCACAGTACCCTCCATATATTTTTTCATCCCGAAAACATCCAATAATTGTTCTATTTTTCCACATGTTTATCAGATAAGTGACTTTCAGATTCAACTTCGAGCACTTTATATCTTTGGTCAGTTTCCAATATTCCTGCTCATTCTGTGGTACGTAATGTGCCTCTTTTACTATATATCCCTGGTTTGTACAAGATAGGGCAGGTGCAAATGTTGTCATCAAAATCAAAACCATAATATGAAGAATTCTTTTTATACCTGAAAGGAATACATATTGGTATATGTTATACATGATTGTATGAGGGCTGGTAAGAAACTATACAGACATTATGGTTATTTCCTTTCTAAATACATGCAATGTTCTTTGATGCATTTAACAAACACCAACGATGTATAACAGCAAAAAATATTTTAGTTCTTCTTTTAAATGACCTATTAATTTAATTAAATGTAATCATGGTATGGGTACCTGGCGCAGTCTCGAAATCGAGTGTGAATTCTGTAACTACTACTTACAAAATCCTGGTTGATTCAGGGAATGTATGAAATTTCATGAAATTATATACATAAGCACTTAAGGCCATGGAACAATTACTGGCAAGATTAGAAATGTGCAGCTTACATCATTTCCATCTGTTACAGTCAAAACATTTAATTTGATGATAAAAATTGAAATGGTCCAGTACAATTTGATGTCCAAAAAACATTGAAGTTTTAGTTCGAAATTCATTTTCAATCCACCAGAACTAATTGCATGCACAGAGTATTAATGTATGCAGGGGTTGAAATATACAGTAGCCAGACGCCCGGGGCTAGTCATTTTAAGACTCAGGCTAGCTAATATGTAACGATAATCTGACTGACTAGAAGAACAGAAGAAAAAAAAATTCTCGTCAGTTTACTTTCAATTGGCTTTTCTGTGTAGACTGAATTCTTTTGACTAAGAGCTAATTTAATTTGTTTCTGTCACCAAAGCTTTTGAAACTTTAATTTGTTGCATTTTCATTTTGCATAAAAAAATTGTTTGGCTAGTTAGTTTGAGGTTTGGGCTAGTAATTTTTTACTGATCAATATCCCCAGGGTAAGTGGGTTTTCCAGGAAAATTTCAACCCCTGGTATGATCAAAAAGACAAATACGAAGAATATATTTCTTTCTAAGATGACGAGATATTACTTAATTTCTTCTTCACTGAAACACGTTTGACAAGCAAAAACGTGGAGGGGGTTTCCAAACTCATAAACTTTCTTATTCATTTCCAAAATCTTTCAACCCCCTCCCCCAAAAAGGAATCAAATGTTGTATCCTCTTCCAAAATTAAAATTATTTGTCTTTTAGATCAATCAATAGTGTTGTTCTTATGAGCATAGCTGAGTTGGACTGAAAATGAATTCTGAAATAGAATTTCAATTTAATGTTTCTCGGATGCCAGTGCCAAATTGTACCTGCTCTTAATTGTCTATGATCATCAAATGTTTTGACTGTAACAGCCTGGAAATGATGTCAGCTGCATATTTCCAATCTAGCCAGTCACAATGTTCTGCAGCCTTAATAGACATAGTGTGCTTACATCAATCACATGTATCTTGACTAACAGACTTCTAGAAAAGCATATTTGCATTCCAAGAACTACAATTCACTTCTATTTTCTCTCCGGAGTGGAGAGAAGGCAGGAGCAGAATGTAATCCATTGCCAGTGAATGTGTCAAGCAGGTGGCCTGCATTGTCGCAAGCCACGAGTTTTGTCCATTCTACGGGGGCTGATCCAAAAGTTTGTGGAAATTCCTTTATATTTTATTTATTTTCTAATGAAAGTGATTGAAATTTACAGGTGAAAATATATAAGCATGTTGAATTTTCTTAATAAAAGAATATTTTTAAAATTCATGATTTTTACACTTTGGCAGTTGCCATAGAAACGGACGTTTGAAAATGTGAGGGAAACATTTATTTGTTCATAATCATTTTAATTTTTCAAATTCGCTGTGAAAAAAAACACGCTAAGTGTTATATAAAACAAAAATGATGTCATAATTCAATTGCTTCAACTCTTACAAACATTTGTGTGAAAGTTTTATTCATTTTACTGGATATTTAGTTTTTTTATTGATGATTTGTTGATCATTATGACATCGTTAGACAACATCGTAATTCGGTCAGTGAATAAGATTTGTGAAAATCTTGAGAACACTCTGACTCAGACTCAGATGCATATACTAATGATACAGGCAGACCAAAAGTACAGTAAGCAACTGGTTTTCAATTGGCGTAAGCAATTTAAGGTAAATAGAGCTTCCAAAGATGATGAAAGGTCTAGCCGCCTATTGGAAGGTCTTTCTTTCCTCGAAGACAAATTGAGAGCTTTAATGGACGTGGACCATCGATGCACAGTGATTGACATTGCTACTAAAATCGGAACATCACATGGAATCACAGAGCGTATTTAAAAAAAACATATCCTAATGTGAAGAAAACGGGGGCTAGATGGGTACCAAGACTTTCCTCGAAGAAAATAGTGAGAAGAATGCAGCATTCTGTAATATTTCTAAGTTGATTTGGACATGAGGGCGAGACATTCCTAGAACGTGACGTGACATACCTAACTTGGCGTTATGTCAAAGTCTCCCCCGGATTTTACATCTTTCCATGTTAAGAAAGCTCGTGTGAACTTCATTGTAATTGGAATGTAGTGAAATTTTCAAGTATTGTTGCATTATGGATCGATGTTATAGACATGTCTTTTGTTTGCTTTAATCACGTCACAATAAAATTTTAGAAAGAAATTCCACAAACTTTTGGATCAACCCTCATATTTCCACCATTCCGTAGCTGCATACTGCCAAATTTTCTCATTTTGCTAATGAATCAAAATATTAAGTGATGTCAGATTTATTTTCACCAAGAAATCACTCTGTGGCAGTTTTTGGTACTTTTACATGGTGGTGCCCATAATGACATCATGTCATTTATTATTAGATATTTCTTTGTAAAACATCCGATTCAATTTGTTGAAAGTCTGTGCTATTAATCAATGAAAACGAAAGAATCTTGCAGTAAGCAGTCATAAGTTTGTGAAAATAGAATGAACACAACAAAACTTGTTGTTTGCAATGATAAGAGACTATAGCTAAATATCTTACTTTTGAGATCATTCTCTTAAATGTGTACAAGGGAAAATGAAATTATCATGTTAAAATATATATTCCAGATACTGAGATAGTCATGCTTACATTTACAATAATCATCATTGATTCTGCAAACTTTTTAAATAAATATTGCAAAACAAAACTTACATAAACATGTTAATAAAGACATCATCTTTTAATTAGGAATGCTGCATTTATTGCCCTTGGAACAATATTCAAATCCTCAGTCTGTCTTTATGGCTATTAAAAATAAAAGGAATATAATAAAAAAAAAACACTAACAGATTTCCAGTACGAAATGGCTAGGTACTATATGTACATGTACGTAGTGCAATTATACAACAGTTGAGGTCACAGCGTCACTGACGGACAACTGTTTACCAGATAAGAGAGGATAGGCAAATTATTCCCATTAAACAGGTACATCACAATCTCTTGATTTAGCTATTACATAGCTTGAATTAGCTATATAGCATTACTAAGCTATTCAGAATAGCTTGATAAAGTTATTTATATGCCATTTTTAACAAAAATGTTTTCTGCAAGAAGTAGATAAAAAGTTGCAAGTATTTGAATATTCATATATTGTGCAGGGTTATTTTCACCCTGTGTTATTTTTGCACTTTCACACTTGCAAACAATTTTTCTCTGTTTTAAATTCGCCCAGTTACAATTCTGCTTAAGAAATTATACTGTGTTTTTGAATTTGCTGTTTCAAATTCACCCACCTGTGAGTAGGACAAAAGGGGCGAAAATAAAATGAGGATTCCAAAGAAAATTTCCTTGTATACATTTAAAATATAAGGCTTCTGTCTTGAAATACATGTATAAGGATATTTGGGCGAGGGTAAGATAATAATGTGATAGAGGGCAGGGCTTGCCGAGCCCTCTATCACGTTTTCGACCCGAGCCCAAATATCGCTTATATTTCAAGACAGTATCCATGTATTTTGTTTATCCTGCAATATATTTTTACATCAGACCTCCAAAATTGCTATTTTTCAACCAATTTAGGTACATCTCTACAGTTGAAACTAAGACGCCATGGCGTATACATTGCAATGTGTATGACGTCACAATGCTTTTAGAACATCGGAATACATGCACGAGGCTTTAATAGGGCATTGACCAAATAACGCTTTGGTTTATTAAGTTACCTTTATTGGGTCAATGCAAGGGGTAGTCGCAGGATAAAATATGTACTATGTACTAATCATAATCAAAAAAGCAATCCAAATAAAAGATAATTCTAACATTTGCAGCACTGAATAATTTTAAGCAAAAGTTGTATTTCCATTGTTTAGAGAACTGTCACTGGTGGATTTAATGGGGGGGGGGGGGACACCTCCCCTAAAATTTTCAAAGTATGATATGACTAACATCAATAATGCCATACTTTGTTATATAACTAACCAATGCCGCTATTTTTGTGCCTTGTTTTACTCTTAAAATACACGAAAACCGGGGAGCTTCAGGGGGCTTCGACCCCTGGGCCCCCTCTATTCAAAGTATGATATGACTAGTATTAATAATGCCAAACTTTGGTACATATAAACTAACCAATACCACTATTACTGTGCCTGGTTTTACTCTTAAAATACACAAAAACCCTGGAGCTTCCAGGGGCTTTGCCCCCTGGGCCCCCTCTATTCAAAGTATGATATGACTAGTATTAATAAAACCAAACTTTGGTACATATAAACTAACCAATACCACTATTATTGTGCCTGGTTTTACTCTTAAAATACACGAAAACCCAGGAGCTTCTGGGGGGCTTTGCCCCCTGAGCGCCCACCACTTTTTGAACATGGTGAAAAAATAACACATTTCAGAAAAAAGTGTGATAAAATAGCTAAATCAAGCTATTCTTAATTGGCTTTAAAAAGCTATATCGCTAATTCAAGCTATGTAGCTTCATCAAGAGATTGTGCCATGGTCAGCTGATGGTAGGAAATTCGAACATGTTCATTTGTATAGCACATGGACACTACATTCCCTAGGATTACAATGACAGTCAATACCAATAAAAGTACTTATAAAATACTTACGTTTTTGGCACCTACCTGACAACCCTGCTGTATGAAAAATCTGTATCGCGACGAGTCGAATATTCGATTTACAGTCACTTCGTACACAAACCGAGTCGTACACAAACCAACTCGTATACAAAAAGTCAACTCGTACACAAAAAAAAGTCAACTCGTATACAAACCAGAAGTCAACTCGTACACAACTCATACATACGTTTTCCTATGTGATTTAAGGTAATATTTGCCATAGTTTCCAAAAAAATTGAATACCGAATATTCCAAACCTGTGAGTCGCTGCTACTTTCGGAAGGTTTACAGTCAACTCGTACCCAAACCGAGTCGTACCCAAAGAGTAAACACTATATAATGCCATACGATATGATGCCATAAAATCTGTAAAGTTTATTATGGTAATATCCATAATGTTTATTACTTACTTGAAAAAAAGATTTTTAAAATGTAAAATTTACGTCTCACAATTTGTTGTTTGTATGTTGTTGTTTTTATGTTTTTGTTATCTTGAAGTGTGACAAAATCAGAGAAAATAGAACTATTTATTTAGTCATTAACAATACACATTAAGAAATAAAATACTAGAATCATACAAACTTATATATTTACCCTTGAAAACAATTAATTGTCTCTTATTATGATTTAATTTTTGACTTTTGAGCTTTGGGTACGAGTTGACTCTGGGTTTGGGTACGAGTCGGTTTGGGTACGAGTTGACTGGATACCCTTCGGAACTTACTTCGAGTTCAAGGCCAGGAGTTGCATATTTTTCGAATTGTTTCCGATATTATTTTCCCGGACTACTTTAACGGTGTTATCATCTTCTAGTTTGTAGAAATAAATTGATTCCACTTCTAGTCATCATACATTTACATCAATACATCCTATTTTCACTTCATATTTAGAGTTCCAGGCGCGGATCCAGGATTTTTCTCCGGGGGGGGGGGGGGGTCCACCTGCAGTCAAAAATCCTACTAGAAATTTCTTGACAAGCAAAAAAAAAAAAAAACGCAACTACTTCCCCAATCGTGAGAACCCTATTTCGTGGGGGGGGGGGGGGGCTTGACTTCTAAAGCTTCAGTACCTACATGTATGACTTTTCATACCAACTTACCACAAATCCCCTAGCTGTTATCGAGGGGGATCCGCGTTTCCAGGGTGGGTCTATGGTCACTTTTAATCGGTTAAGTATATACATTTAATAACTTTGTAAATTCCAGGGGGAGGGGGTCCTGACCCACCCATCCCCCGACCCTCCCCCTAGATCCGCGCATGAGTTTTTATTTTCTAATTCAGCAAAAAGCTGTCAGTTGGGTTCTGTACGAAAAGGGAAGTGATGTACCCATTCATCGAAAAATGTCCGATGCATGGTTAATATTTCATAGGGCTTGTCTTCCGGATTGTTTAAACGTAAAATGAATTTTAAAAAATTTGAATCTTCTTTAAATACACTTAAAAGTTGTTAAATAGAGATTCTGACACTTTCAGTCAAGAAAAAACACGTTTAAAAAAGACGTACCACACCTATATATACATAAACTCTACAAGGGTATAGGATGCTTCCACATACGTTTCAGCTTTTCTGGCCAAGTGACTCTTGAGAAGAAGTTTTTTTAAAGATTTTTTCTATATATTTCAATGTAAAATTTGGATTCCCTATTGTGGCCCCGCCCTACCCCCGGGTCATAATTTGAACAATTTTGAATCTTAACTACCCCAGGATGCTTCCACATAAGTTGCAGTTGCAGCTTTTCTGGCCCAGTGCTTCTTGAAAAGATTTTTAAGATTTTTCCTATATATTTCAATGTAAAACTTAATTGATTCCCAATTGTGGCCCCACCAGGCTTGGGGCGAATTACATTGTAAAGTAATGCATTACATTACCATTACTTCAAGAATTTGGGCATTAAATTACCATTATCATTACTCTAATTTCTTAAAGTAATGAATTACATTACCATTACTTTAGCAAAGTAATGCATTACCATTACCATTACTTTTGGAGGTTTTTCAAAAATAAAAATACAAAATTTTGCAACTACTGTGATAAACATGCATCTCACCCCTTCAAAACTAAACATGATGATAATTCGAATTTCATTTAAAGTACTACACTGTAAATAATTTACATATTTTTTTTATTATTCATAGGAATTTCCAATATGATAAAAACATGTACAATATGCACTTTTTGTTTAACTATTGATGCCATAAGCTAAAGGCAATTTAACTTTTGGGCAATTCACTCCCTCCCCAAAACTAAAACTAAACTTAATAAGAGGTATAAAGATTATTTGGATCTAGTACCTTAAATTGTGACAAAAATTAAATGCATTGACAACCTTGTAAAAAGGGTTCGATAGTATATGTACATTTCTTCTAAAAGCAGAAAGTCTGTCTTCTGCTCCTTTTAGTGCAATGGATTTGTTATGGTCAGCTCAAGCTACATCAGCTCAATTAATGTTTCATAAACACAGTCAGAAGAAAGGGACTGGTTTTTGAAGTACTTCTCAAAACAATACCTTGTTTTAATTGTTACATAAATCCTAGAGGCATTGTGTGTTTTGATGACTCTCTATTCAAAAGGTGGCAATTATCAGTTTACAATGAACATTAATTAGTGTGCCTCATATCAGAATTATTTTTAAGGATATTTTTTTTTAAATAAACTCTTTAAAATATTCTTTGAAATTAAATCTGATCTAAAATAAGTATGAAAATTTAAATGTGTAGTAATTGAACTTTCAACAAAATGATAAATGTATTTAAATAGATAACAAGTAAAAACACGAGGACATTCAGGAATGATGCAAGTTTATTGTTTAAAAGTTGTCCAAAGCAAGGCATGTGTCCGATGCATGGTTAACTCAACCTAACGTTACATAGCTTAATTACTGGTAAAGATTAAAACAAAAATGGGGGTCAATGCGCTTTTTTTTGGTGATACAGTACATTTATTATGACATTTTGCACTGTAATTGCGTCTTAAACAAAAATCATTTTTTCATAGTTTTTCCTCCAATATTTTCTATCTACATAAACCATGAACCAAATATGTAGTCTTATTCACACTTGAAACGACACATTAAAAATTGTAAAAAAAAAAAAAAAAAAAAAAAAAAAATTCAAAATATTATTTGACCTTTCTGCACTCAAAATAATAATTTTCTGGCATAGAAAATAAACAAACAATAAAATAAACAAACAATAAAATTATTTTAAGTTTTAAATTTTTATTGAATTAATTTCAGCAGAATGGCCAATCATACCAACAACTTAGACCCTTTGACCTTGACCTACAAGTTTTGACCTACTTTTGAAAAACTTTAACATTGGCCATAACTTTTGAACGGTTGATGCTGAGGCTTTCATACTTCACATATGTAATCCTTGTGACAAGACCTTCCTTTGGATACCAACAACTTTGACCCTTTGACCTTGACCTTGGAGATTGACCTACTTTTGAAAAACTTTAACCTTGGCCATAACTTTTGAACAATTGGTGCTAGTGCTTTTATACTTCACATAAGTAATTCTTGTGACAAGTCCTTCCTTTGGATACCAACAACTTTGACCCTTTGACCTTGACCTTGGAGATTGACCTACTTTTGAAAAACTTTAACCTTGGCCATAACTTTTGAACAATTGGTACTAGGGCGTTCATACTTCACATATGTAATCCTTGTGACAAGTCCTTCGTTTGGATACCAACAACTTTGAATTTGACCCCTTGACCTTGGAGTTTGACCCATTTTTGAAAATATTTAACCTTGTCCATAACTTGTGAACCGTTGGAGCTAGGACTTTCATACTTCACATATGTTATCCATGTGACAAGACCTTCCTTTGGATACCAATAACTGTAATCCATTGACCTTGGAGTTTGACCTACTTTTGGAAAAGTTAAACCTTGGTCATAACTTTTGAACGATTGGTGCTTCAGCTTTCATATTTCACCAGTATATTTCTTGTGAGAAGGCCTTTCCTTAGGCACCATTATTTTTTACCATTTGATCTTGACCTTGATGTTTGACTTACTTTTGAAAAACTTCAACCTTTTCCATATCTATTCAATGGTTGCTGCTAGGGCTCTCATATTTCACAGGTATATTCCTTGAGACAAGACCTTACTTTGGGTACCAACATATTTGATTTGCATTTGAGAAAGTTTAATCTTTGCTGTAAGTTGCCATACGGGGGCATCAGTGTTTCACAAACACATCTTGTTTTAGTAGAATTAGTTCTTTTCTTGACTCTTCAAGCATTGATACTATAATGTAACAAGAGGCCCATGGGCCACATTGCTCACCTGTGGACACTGGCTAGGAAGAAGCAGAAATTAGTTCAGAACATGTATATTGAAACATTTTCGGGGGGGGGGGGGGGGCTTAAATTTACACTACCTCAGGATGCTTCTATATCGATATTACTAACCATGACTTTGCTGTTCTTAAACAGAAGAATTTTAAAGATTTTTTCCTATGTATTCCTATGTTAAACTCTGATTGGTCAATGTGGCCCCACCCTACCCACCGTAAATTTGAACAAATTTGAAAGTACACTACCTGTGGATGCTCCTATAATAATATGACTAATCATGGCTTTGCTGTTCTTGAGCAGCAGATTTTTTCAAGATGATTCCTATATATTCTTATGCAAAACTTTGACCCTCTGTTGCCCCAACCCCTGGGGGGGGGGGGGGGGGGTCATGATTTTAACAAACTTGAGTCTACAATACTTAAGGTTGCTTCTGTTTATATATGACTAATAATGGCTTAGTTGTTCTTGAGAAGAAGATTTCAAAGATATTTCCTACGTAACGTGTATGATCAGGTTCTTACAAGGGATATATACATGTACGTTTTCCTTTTACTATGTCTGAGTTAATGATTGGATAGCTATGTCTGAGGGTATATCACGTAGTTCTTAAATTTTCTCTTTCATCTAGAGATGGGGAGTGAGTAAGATACTACCTGCAACGTGTTTCTCCCCTAGGTTCCCACTGATAGATAAGAACCAGTTGTCTCAATCTTCTTCAGATTTACTACACCCAGAACTTAAGTACTTGACAATTAAAGATTGCAGTCTATGAAGCAATTTTGAAAAAAATAAAAATTGAAATAATAAGAATATCAATAAATACTGTAATGAAAAAATGCACTAAAACAATTAGAAATAGAATGACAATTGAAAATGATTTTTTTTACCAGGTAAGA